TCGTTAAAAAATTCATTAAGAGATAGCATCTATATTTGTATTATTTCCCGTTAGCGCATACGAATTTTCTAATTGCGCTCAAACACTGGGACAAATTATATCCGAACGTCGAGCCATAACCTATTTCAACTGTCTGGTCATTGGTAACGTTAATGCGCTTAAATTACTTGCATAAATATTTCATTAATAATACAGATATATACACTGGTTTAAATCATTTTTCTCCTTACTCAAGGGAATCTGAAGTTTTCGAATAAATGCAGATATTTCTATCAAAACTATCCTCAATGTTATATATTGCATTTTTTGTGACGACCTACGTTTAAACTTCCGCTTTTACCGGGACATTTACCTTAGGTTGTGTGACGCACACGTGTCGACCTGCGAAGTTGTCTGTTGCAAGCGTGAGAAATTGCGGAGAAGAACGAGAACGTCGGACGAGAACGAGCTTGTACCCTGAGCTTCGATATAACGCGACGAAGGATTCGATATATCGCGCGAAGTAAATATTATATAACGTTTCTCGTTTATCCCCTTTAGACCGTCGCTTCGACTCACTTTTCGCACGCGTGTGTGACTTTCGAAGTGTGCTCAAGGAGAGATCACAAGATCTATCGCGCTGAGCGCGTAACCTTCAGCGATCAGCCGAGATTTCGAAGCAACGAGGATCGGAGGAATCGACGCGCGGGACGCGTCGACGTTGACGAGCTCTCGGGGCGACCGCAGGAGCCGCCGCGCCGCGCCGCGTCTTCTCGTTTTTCACGGGAGCCGCGTGTTTGCAGTCGCCGCCCGGCGGGAGCTTCTTCGTGTGTGAGCGGCGGAGTGCGGTGTAACGTGCGTGCGAGGAAGCACGGAAGCGGATCGCGGATATCGAGTTACCTGTCGCGCTCCTCGCACTTGCTCGTCCGCCATGGTGGTGTCGCATCGCGAGCCCAGCATATCGTCCAACATACGGGCGATCATCGAGCAGCTGAACCTGAACCCGGTGGAGAGGAGGCGGCTGATCGACAAGACCAGGCAGGAGAGCGCGCGATGCAAGAGCTACCCGGACGGGATCGTCGTGGCGGAATCGCCGCCGAAGATCAGCATCGGCGTTTACGGCTGCAAGGATCGGAACGAGTTCGCGATGCCCGGCCCGATTAAGCCCGCTCGCAAGAGCGACGAGCGATCCAGATCGCAGAAGGCGGAAGCGCGCCAGCGATTTCCCGCGCAGCTGAAGAAGGAGACGCGCGCGGAACACGCGAACGAGGTAAAGCGACGCGCGCGAGCTGCGCCGAGATCGCGAGTCGATTCGCTTTTGCGGAGGGAGCTTCGTCGCGTCCGTCGAGAGTTCTCGCGAATCGCCGCGCGCGCGCTTGGGTGATTTTTTTTTCTTTTTTTTTTTTTTTTAATTAGCCGCGCGGAGGACGAAAATGTTTGCTCGACTAACGCCCGGTTTCTTCACACCGCCCAATAGCTATCTTCCGTTCCAAAGATATCCGTCAGATAAGTAAAAATTCGTTTTCTTCACCAAAACCTCTGGTTACGTATCTAACAGATAGCTATTCTTCATACCACTAGCTTTTAGCACAAAATGTGTTGGAAATTTGCTGTAAATCACCATTCTATTCTGCCAGCGACATATTCTTTTCCGGGCTGGTATTAACTAATTAAAGTAATTCCCACAGTATTAACAATCGGTCTTCAATTGCATGTAATAATTCGAGCACTGTGTTCTTTTTCAAATGAAATCGTTCGAGAAATTCTGTGTCATTCCCCACTTGAAAAGTGTTCGGTTTATTTCTTATTGTGTAGGGTCTTCTTTTCACAAATTCCTCATCATCATCATTATCATCAGATTAAAAAATATTAATATTCGTGAGTAACGAGTCCACGTTGTGTTTTCATAAAAACAGCAATAGCAACAGCAGATTACGTATTATTGTAATTTTTTTTTTGTTATTATGTCAGGGCACTGGAATTAATATCTGCCGGATATCCGCTACTTCAGGTACCGGACAAGTTTATCTGTCGGATACAAACTTTAGAAAAGGTGAAGAAAATCGATTCTGCCAGATATCTCATGAATAAAGTTATCGACCACTTATCTAGAGGTGAAGAAATTGGGCATAAACCAACTTTCCGTCGAGGTTGCCGGCTATTCGAAAGTTCCGACTGAGGATTCTGCTGAAATTAACCGGAAATCTGGTTAATTTTCAGTGAAGTCCGATAACCTCAAACCGGAATTTCCGTGTATCCGTTCATATTTCCGCAGAAGGTCGATTCATTCGACCGAACTTTTTTTTTTCCTTTCGCGTAGATGAAGTGAAGTATGTAAATTTCTCTTAGCACTTTGCGCTGATTGCAGACGACTGAGATATGTTGTTGATCTTATTCGTATTAGGATATATCAATCTTTCCTTTCGTCTCATTGGAGGACGAGATTTCTGCGCGAGTCCGATAAATCGCAGCTTGCTCTTGAGCGAGCGACAAGTACTCGCTTGTCTATCAGAATCGCTTGTTTATCTGAGGGATTTTTATTTCGCAGCGAGTCGAGTGTTCAAACGTTGATATAAACATCGACTTAATAACATATAGATACGACATATCTGTGTCAACACTTGTGTCTGTATCCGTCCACGTCTATAATACCGCGATAAACAGTGTAACATCGTACCAAAAATGGTCGAGCGCGTGCGCTGTTGTATTATTCCTTACACAACAATGCATCTTGCAAAGCGTCGATTAAGTAAATTAATCTATCCAAGCCGAGTCGCGACGTCCGCTAAGGGAGTCTCAAAAGCGAGCGAGCATCGTTCGATTCACTCTGGTCGGGATTAAAGATATGCGAATCAAGAATTTTTATGTCGAATCGAATCGAATGAAATCGAATCTAATAATCATTAAAAAACTTAACATGTCTATTAAACAAATAATGACGGAAGATTTTAATGCGGAAGGGAATAGGTATTGATATTGTAATATCATCTTAAAGTAAAATATATATTTAAATATTTAAAGTAATTTATAATTAACTTATTAATTATAAGTTAAATTAATTACAAGTTAAAGGTTCAAATATACAGGCCCAGGTGGCCGGTTTTCTAGTTGACGCGCGCAAACGCTAATGTATTTGATTCGTATTCAAATCTTCGCGATTCGAAATTTTCGCATTGTTCGGATTCGAATCAAAGGGATTCAGATTCGAATTCGAATAGTTCGCACATCTCTAGTCGGGATGAAGTCATCTCGTTTCCCTCGAATTTCACTCGAACTCTCCGGGACGCGAGGAAGCCAGCCGCGCGGCGCGGCTAATCGAATCCTCGCGCTCGCGCGACGGCGAGTCGACGGTGACGACGAGTTTCGACGAGCTTCGCCACGTTTAATCCGAATACACATAAATACTCAAGGGCAAGGTTGAGTGGCAGCCGCCGCCGTCGGCGCTGGTGTCGGTCGGAACCCTTAAGGACGAGAGCCGAGCAAGATCGACGCTGACGACGAACCTGTCGTCGAAAGGTCCAAAAGGTCAACGGATGATTAAGAGGGAGCAGCAGGCTCGAGCCGACTCGGCGACGACGATCGAGGTAATCGATCGAATGACAAATAGCGAGATCGCACCGCGATAGGCCGCGCCGCGCGTTATTAAAACGCGCGACGCCGTCTCTCTCTCTTCGATCTCTAGCGGGCTATCGCGCGCGACTATCTTCACGTAACGGTTCACTCGGTGTGTAATCGATCTGTGTGCGATTGTGTAAGGACAAGGTCGCGGACGCATCGGTGCTGTCGATCAGGCCATTGTACAAGATCGAAGATCACCCGAGATCGAAGCAGCCAGATACGGCGAACAGGATCCCCCGGGCTACGAAGGAGCTACGGACCCGCGCCGAGGACACGGTCGAGGTAATCGATCGATCGGTATCAGCTCCCTCCCCCCGACGAGCGTTAGTCTGCGCCTAACGCGACGTTAGAACGACCAAGAGAGAGAGAGAGAGAGAGAGAGAGAGGAGAGAGATCGTTAATCGGTGACTGCGATCTCGACGAGAGCCTACTTTTTCTCATTGCGCTCGCGTGGGTCTTACGGAGCGAATGAGGAGCTTTCGAAAGTCGCGCTTTGAGCAAGTCGCGCAAGGAGAAGAGCGCAAGCTTCGCTCTTCGACGCGCTTTCCTCAGGGAGTCAAGGGTCAGTGCTGAACCACGGCAGCGGCGGCGGCGGCGGTTCGCGTCGCTCATTCGCGCTCATTAGCGACCCCGCCATCGCCGTCGCCGTCGCCGTCGCCGGCGGCTCGTGACGATCGGATCGCCCGTGAATCGTCCGTAAAATTACGCACCAATTCGGAAGACGGACGCGATCCGGAGGCCCTTCCCGTCGCGCGTGCCCTCGTCTTTCCTCCGCTCCGACGGCCCCGTCGTCGGCGGATAGCTCCCTCGCGAGAACAGCTCCGGCGAGCCGAAAAAGCGCGCGACGCACCTGCGACCGGTTTCAGCCGATCGCGGTTAAGTGGCCGCCACTCGGTGACTTGACTCGACTCGCCGGTCAATACCGTTAGAGACCGAGCGGCGGCGACGTGCCGCGCTCGCACTGCTGCAAGCCGCAAGACGGAGGATAACGCCGGTAACGGCGTCGGGAATTACAATTTACATCTCGCGCATCACGCTCTCTCTCTCTCTCTCTCTCTCTCTCTCTCTCTCTCTCTCTCTCTCTCTCTCGTCGCGTCGCGCCGAAGTCTAGCCGTGCGTGTCGCGGCCCGATGGCTCGGCGGCGAGACTTTGGCCGGTCTTGCCTTCACCGAGCAAGATGACGAGGAGAAAAAGGATATCATCACGGGTTTGGGCAGGATCCGCGTACGGACAGACGCACCTCTCTGTCGAGCGATTTGTAGAGTTCTTCGCGAAAGCGAAGAAGAACTGCGCGCGAAGAGTCGCGCAGGATCGAGGGATTCGTTGGCATTGCGTGACGCACAAACAAGCGTGATCGTATCGAAGGCGGATAACAAGTGCGATTTCTGTTTCTTTACACGCAGATTACGAGAGCGTCGAAGGACACGGTCGATCGGGTCGTCGCAGTGGCCAAGGAGGATTTACGTAAGTCCGTCATCAAGTACCGGCGTTTCTTGCCGGAATTTTTGTGTGAATGTGATCGCCGTAATTTGCCACTTTGCCCGTCTAATAATCCGTCCTGCGGGTTCGATCGCGTTTCATTAGAGCGTGTTAGAACGTGAACGCTGATACTCCAGAGCCTCAAGCGCTCTAAATTGTTTAAGGTTAATTGTTTATTTTATTATTTCTCATGACGCTCGCCTAGTAAATCATCCGCAAAGAGCAAGTCTTCGACAAAATTCATCTTATTTATTTATTTCTTTGGTCATGGAACCAAGTGTCGCTCTTACAGGATTTATCCTAGGGCGTAATAAAGCGGATTCTATTACGCATATAGCCCGTAACGAAACGAGAGAAATAACGAACAATAAAGGGAAGGGGGAACAACGCGGCAAAAAGAAGGGAGCGAGAATAAAGGAACATGAATCTTCACAGCAGCCAGCAACAGCAGAGTAGAATCGCGCGCGCGCTGCTCTTACTTTTCGCCGCGCGTCAATGCGTTGTGCTCTGGCACTTCTTCTCACAATTGGCACCTTCGTGAACGCAATTTTCCCGTCCACTTCACAGCACAACTAGAAAGCGCGAGCTTGAATCACACCGCGGCGCATCACCGGATCTCCGTGCGCCCGAAGAACCGGCGGCCGCCACGACGTACCACACCAGCGCCGGCGTCGTCGACTGCGGCTAATGTCCTCGCCTCGAGCTCCCCGTCGATACCGCCGACCATCGCCGAGGACACTCTGGACAGCTTGGAGCAACAGCAGCAGCAGCAGCAGCAGCAGCAGCAGTCGACCAGTAACGCGTCGACGCCAACGGAAGCCAAGACCACTGGCGTGACCAGGAAATCATCCAGTCGGCTGTCGCGCAACTCAGACATCTTCGAGGAGCTGGAGCCCAGACTGCCCAGGAAGCCAAGCGCGACCTCGTTGTCGCCGGACAGTCTGGACGCCACGACAACGTCGAGGAGCAGCGCAGAGGTAGCTGAAGAGCAGACGACACCGTCGCCGACGACAATGACGACGACGACGACGACGATGATGACAACGGCGGCGGAGGTGGTCACCAGGTCGGTCGCCAGGAGACCGTCCAATCGGATATCCAAAGGCTCGTCGGACGTGTTTGAAGAACTGGAGACGAAACTGCCACATAGCAGACGGTCGTCGTCGAATCGGCTGTCCAAGTCACCGGACAGCCTGGATTTGACGCCCTGTTGGTTCTCCAAGTCCACCGAGGGCTTCGACAAGTACGAGGAGGCTGAATACGAGGAGTCGTCGTCGAGGCCGATAGCGGTGAGGAGGCTGTTGCTGAATCCGATCTCCAAGTCCACCGATCGCGTGTCTAAGTCGTCGGATAGCTTAGAGGCGATCGAGCCTTTGGTCAGCGACGACTCCATCGAGCGTAGACGCAGCAGCTTCGAGTTCCGGGCGCGCAGGAGCTCGAAGGCCATGTCCAAGTCGTCGGAGAGCTTCGAGGTGCTGGAGCTGCGGGAGCAGAGCGCTCGCGCAAGCGAGGAGGTGGTAGTGATCGGCCAAGAGCTGCAGAAGCACAGCAGCGTCTCCGACATCAATCTGTCGCGAGGCAGGAGGCTGTCCAAGAGCATCTCCAAGTCGTCCGAAAGCTTCGAGAGAATCGACACGAGCGAGACGAAGGATATGGAGGCGGAGGTGACGTTGGACGACGTCTCGAAGGGCTGCTGCCGACGATCGAGCAAGAGGATGTCCTCTGAGAGCTCGGACAACCTAGACGTGGACGACAGACTGGAGAACAGGAGGGTGCGACGAACGCCCAAGAGGATACCGAGCAGCGGTATAGTCGACGTGGTGGTAACCGGGGACGACCGCGACAGAGAGAGGCGGCCTACTCCAACCAGGAAGCCGCCGAGGCTTCAGAAGTCCTCCGAGAGCTCGGAGCTTGGTAGCACGGACACTTTGGATTCGGAGAAGAGGAACAAGTCCTCGGAGAGCACCGAGACGTTGGACAGTCTGGAGAAGGATTTGGAGCAGGACAGGAAGGAGGAGGAGATCACAGACAGCGTGCTGGATAGACGTGAGAAGAATGTAAGACACTTTGCTCGAGTAGCCTAACTTTTTCTGTGTACCCAGGAATCCCATTTTGGGATAACGATATACGATGAAGAAGTTTAGCATTAGTTTTAAGGTCAACCACCTAGAAGGCTGCTCAACTTTGCAGTGCTAATAATGCGAGCGAAACAATTAATGTTGAAGGTACCTTGATATGTTTGAGAATATAAATAATTATGAACCGAACAGCTTCCATAATTATGCATTTTCTAAAGTTCTCTAAAACTCTCCTAGCATTTGTGTAAACGCGATAAGAAGAGGGGCAGTGTGATGAGTCTCTTCCTAACATCGGTCTCGTCTCTTTCAGGATTCCTGGTCCAGCAGGAATGTGGCTGCGACCGAACCTGACCAGACATCAATGGGAGACGACACGGAGGACTCCAAGTCGCTCATCACCGCTGACAAATATTACTGGCGTCAGTCCTCCGAACCTACTAAGGACAACCTGGGAATCCATCAGTTGCTGGCCATCACGATAGTGACCAGAATGGCTGACAACGGTAACAATCAGCGCAGCTCCGTGATTTACCCGAAGAAGAAACAACAGATGAGCACGTCACAGCCGACCTCGCCGGTCGCCAAGCAGGAGGACACGAAGATGCTGTTTGACAATCTCTTGGTCGGCAAGAACGACGAGGACCTGCAGAACATGCTCAACGGAAACATATCAGAGGTGTCGACCGACACCAAGAGCTTTAAGGAGAAGCTGATCATGTTCGAAAAGCTCGGAAAGTGAGCGTACGACGATGGAGCGACGATATAGGAAATCGTCCTTGCGAGAGATCAACCTTCTTTCAGTTGACGCGAACGTGTTCCGGTAGCGGTCAGAGCTTAACGCGGAGAAGAGGTCAAGCACGTAAAAGAGATGAGCGATCTCGTTTAGCGATTATTATATATACATTGTAGAATATATACGAGCCGGGTGTGTTCTCGCACGAAGCATTCGCTCGTTCACTCGAAGCGAGTGAGGGCAAAGAGAAATCAAAGAGTATAGCTCGCGAATAACCGTTTTCACGTGAAGGTCCACCGTTGACCGAGTTGGATCAATCGCTTGCTTATCCGCGGAGAGCTCAAGATCCAAGATAGAAAATGATAAGGTAAGAGCGAATTCAAGAGGAATAAGCCGTACGGATAAAAGTAGAAAAAAGGAGGTGTTACTTTACATAGATATCGCGTTTCGCAGATGGTAAAAATTTGAAGATACCAAACGAGAGCTTGGTATTTTAGATGATGTCATAAGTGATTTGCTCGTCGCGTGTGTTAGTCGATGCAACGTCGCGGTAAGTGAATAAATATTCAGCTAGAGAGAGTAGAGGAGGGGCTGCTTGGTAAGAACCGTTAGATGTTGGACGCGATAAATTAGTAGCAGATCCATTAGCGGAGGATAAAATTATTGGCTGCGGAACAGCCAACTCGCATGTATATTCATTCGTGAAACCGTTTGTTCTTTTCCGATAAAGTTGGGAACGCGTCAAGTGGATATGATTGCGATTGCTGATGAGTGCGAGTCGTTCGTGAGTTTGCAGAACGATCAGGAAGACGGTCATGACAGAAACTGAAACGTCACACGACGGTACACGATGCACATATTGGATATTTCTATTATGTTATCTCTGCTCTGTAATTACTTACGTTTTCTTGTGAATCCTCCGTTGCAGTTGCGACGGTTGTCTAACTCGCTGTCACTTCGCCTCCTGTCATGACCGATTACCGCTCAAGCTCAAGCAGGTAGCGGCTCGTAGTCGCGACTACTTGATGCGCCCGCCCCAACTTCATCGGAGAGATGAAAAGTACGTTCAACAATGTGTCGGATAATTTCAACTTCCCCACCTAGATACCATCTAATAGATTTAATTATCGCGTCCAACATCTTTTGCGACGGTTTCTACCGGCCAGTCTCACACTGATCGTTTCCCTTTGGAATCTTTGCAAAATCTTTGTTTGAATAAATAAGTGAATGTCATAACGTCGCGGTAATCGTACGGTTTAACTCTCGGGGAGAGATCGAAAAAAAAAACAATTTCAATGCGAAGCATGACGGTTCACGTCGATGATGATATCTGGCTTTTCGTTCCGTCGTGTACTGTGGATTGAAGAGCCAAATACCGTTTCGGTGCCGTCAAGGAGAGAAAAAAAGAGCAAAGTTCATTCTTGCTCACGCGGTATTTTTTTTTTTTTCCTTCAATTCTCACATTCGTGTTTTCTTCACACGTCGAAGGAATTAAACGTCGTTGAGATTATACATTGTACGACCGCGCACGAGAACTCCGTCACGAGAGGCGCGTATATACATTCTCGTAGGACCTTCAGCGTTAATCGAAGATAGCTGTACAGTAGTCTAGCGGATGTGATCCTTGCCCATGGCACGTTTGCAAAAATCGTGCATCATCTCATCGTGTAAATACGAAGAATATATATGCGCGGAATCGTCTTGCTATGATGCAGAGAAAAGAATATATACATATATACATATATATATCACCATAGTAGTAATTTGGTAAATATAGAAGAGAGGCACGCACGGGGTGTATAAAAAGAAAAGAAAAGAAGAAAACTGCACGACGGTCGGTCTGAATGTGTCAGCAGGAAGTTGTTATCCGTGCGAGTGTATTTTCGATGCTCACGGCGACCCCGTTTATTCTGCTAGAAAGTGTTGTTACTTTTCCAAAAGATCGCCGCCTACCTATCGCCAATACACGAGCGACATCAGTGTAACGCGAATTACGCCTACAAACGAGGCCTAAAGCGGGCCTACAGTTTTCCTGGTCGATGACGTGTCAACGTGAGTGATATCAGAACATCTGGCCTCAGTATGTAGTCGAGTGACCGCGAAAGATCGTGATTAGGAGGAACGATCTGTAAGAGAGAAAATAGCGTGAAATTGTCGACGGTCGGTGGAGCGCTACGATTCCCCCTCCCCCCCCCTCCCAACCTTTCATTCCTCCTTCTCGATTCTCCGAGACGTAGAAAGCCGCGCTAACGTTACACCCACAGCATATCGCGCGAGACTCGCCGAAGCTCGCGAGGGGAAGAAGGGATCTTTGTAGCCTTTCAAGTGCCTTACCGGGAACCAACCGAGGAAGACCGAACCGAAGCACATCGGCTGTAGGAACACACACGGGCGAGAGAGAGAGAATGTTATATATATATATATATATATATATATCATCCCCTTCAATCTTCCCTCTTCTTAGTTGGCTAGATTATATGATAAATGTATCATCTCGGATCCCGAGAGCGCGCGAAACGTGGAAAGATCGTCTCTTAGAGAGTAAATAGAAAAAAAAAGCTGAATTTAACCACGTCACTGTAATATGTAATGTTATACATAATTAACAAGAAAAGTCTACATACAACCATTCACCCAACCACCCCACTCGCTCTCACATGCAGACAGACGCAACATATACACAGCCACAACAGGTGGACACACACATTTACACGCAGATTTCTCATCCGTTGAGTGTAAATAAAGCTGCCATCGCAATTACGGTTCGACAACAGAATTTGTTTCTCTCTTTATTATAGATCCTCGTGATTCGTGTCAACGCCGTGCCGTGGCGGAACCATTAAAAATTACAAAATATCCGACTTAAGTGTATACAATGCTGGACATTAGGACATGGTCTGTACGTATGCGTGACTAATCGAATGCCGGAAACAGTGTGCGACCGTTTCCTCTCTCTCTCTCTCTCTCTCTCTTTCTCTCTCTCTTTTTCTTTCTCTTTCTCCTCCGTTTCCAACTAAGCATACTAAATGGTATAAAGTATGTTTCACCGGACCCGGCCGGCCGGATAAACATTGCATTGCATCCCGATTCACTTTGAAATCACAATTGTAGAAATGTGTCGTGTACAAAAGGAGGAATGTAACAGCTAGCTTCGTTTCTTTCTTTTTTTCTTTCTCTCTCTCTCTCTCTTTTAACGTTGGCAATGTAATCCTCGCGCATAACAACGACTCTATCGACTTTGCAGAATGAGATAAGGATAATTATTTCGGTTATCGCTAAACGAACTTTGCTCCATTGCCAATACTAAGTCGACGAATCCCGGCGAGATTGCAAGGACCAGCAATTTGATCGCAATCGTGATCGCTGGACGAGAGATCGTTAATTAATGAGCGCATAACGGCAGCATTTCCGAGCAGAGATCACTCGAGTTATTCCCGGTCTCTTTGTACATTTCCTTCTGTCTTCCCGACTCCGCGTTACATTGATAAAACGGTCAGAAATTTCCGTCATTCTTTTCACACGCGAAAATCGCGTGTAACAAAGAATCGATCGAACTCTTTGATTAACGTAATAAATAACCCGGGCATCCGACAGGATGCTCTCTCGCAATATCGTATTCACTGTCAAATCGTAACCGTAACTGTAACCGAAATCTGACCAACTTTCGTAGTCCCCGAGTGTCGCGATCTCAACGGGATTACGCAACGTAACGATCGCAACGACTGATAAATAACGTACAACATTGTCGTATCTAGACGAATACCAAGTGTGTCGCTGCTAAAAATACCTGCCGACATGATATCAGCGGCGCAAAGCGACCATGAGATTTTCATGGGGCTTTATCACCCTCCAGTGACGCATTCGCAATCGCGTCGTCGATTGCGCGACCGCGTTGCGAACGTTCGCGAGAGCCTCGATTCGACGAATGATACATTGATAATCCTTGCGATTAATGTTTGATCCTTGCAGTCTCGGTACTCGTCTCGCGGCCAACCAAAGGGGCCCATAAGAGTGCTCGACATCTCACGTTTGAACGTGCGACCTCGCGCACACCTCGCATTTTACTAAAACGACAGAGCAACCATTTACAATTCGTCGTGCGCGTGTTGCTCGTCGGACGTTTGTTGCCCGTCGAGAGTTTGTTGCGCGTCCGGCGCCTGTTGCGCGTCGTGCGTGTCCGCGCCTTCTATACTGTCCGTTCTGCACAGAGCCGGTGTGGTCAACTCCATGGCGTATTCACAGCGACTCGGTTCCGCCACCGATATCAGCTTGTTCTCCGTTCCGCAGGACAGAGTGACCAGCGTGGAACGCGGCGGGCCGTTCCAACAGGTGAGACCTTTATCGTACTCCATACTGGAGAATCTGTTGCCAGTCGGCCCGACGAACCTGTTGAATTGGCCGAGGTTGACCTCGCTACCGCCGTGCGACTTGGACCTCTGGGTCGCTCTGTCGTACAGGCACAGTTTGTAAATATATTCCATGTCCGTGTACTCGAAGCACTCGCCGTAGAGCGACGCGAACTCGTCGTCCGGGCCGTAGTTGTGGCGCAGTTTCACCTCCAGCTGGCTGATTTCAGCTTGCAATTCGCTCACGGCCTTCTCGACCTCCTGCAGGCGTTCACGGGCATTGTTAGCCTCGTCGATCAAGACCTGCGTCTCCTCATCATACTGAATCGTACTTTCTGCCTCCTTCTCTATCCCTGTTTCCGCTTCAGCTTCAGCTTCCGCTTCAGCTTCCGCTTCAGCTTCAGCTTCAGCTTCCTCCTCTTCTCTATCGCTGGCATCCCCTTCGTCTTCCTCTCCTTCATCGTCCGGAAGCTCACGCGCAGGATACCCCGCGATAGCCTTGATCTCTGTAAACAAAAGGTTATTCAATAACGTCGATATGTTGTAGGAAGGAAGGGAGTGAACGTTGATGCGACTCACTCTCCACCGCAAGCTTCACTTCATGGTGTTCCTTCTCCCGTGCCATATTCAGAAATTCATCCCATGTGGCAGATAACTGGCCAAACAAGATGTGCTTCGAATCCTGCACCGTCACTCCGGTCTCAGTCATATCCTTGCTGCTGAGGATCCTCTCTTCCACTTCATGCAACGTCAATGTACCATCACTGTCATCGTCCAAGATACGGAAACACTTTTCCAGCTCAGGATCGATCAATAACATCCTCGTCTCCGAGGACAACGATGACTCCTCCTCGACAACCTGCTCAGGCTCAGTCTCTGTTTTGTACTTCTCCAACGCTAACCTCTCCCTCTCCTCCGCCTGTGCCTTCAGCACCTCCTTCTCCTTCCTCGTTAACTCCGCTTCCTCATAGTTGGCTCTCACCTTCGCCAGCTGCGACCGGTACTCCGCCTTGAGGGTCTTGCCCTTACTCACCAGCTCCAGGCGCAGCTTGTTGCCGTCGCGCGCCTGCTGCTCCGCCTTCTGCTGCACCAGCTTGGCCTCCTTGGCCAGTATGTGACATGTGTTTTGGCACTTGTGTTCGAGTGACGAGTAGTCGTACTCGTCGCTCGCGTCGCAGCAGTCGCACACGCCGTCGTTCACCCAGGACGATGGTATGTAGTGCGGCTGGTGGCCGGCGTTCTCGCAGTGGAACATGCCGTTACCGCATGCCGGCGTGCCGGGCTCGTCGCTGGCGTCCGCACAGTCGCAATAGTTGTCGTTGACGTTCGAGAACGGTATGAGCATACTGCCGTCCAGGCACTCGAACAGCTCGCGGTTCGGACTGTACAGCGACCTCATCGCCAACGGGACACCGCGTATCGTCGTCGAGCCGGCTACGTGGCTCGTGTGCGCCAGAAGCAGACTGCCCCACACCAACAGCCACACCGCGTACCTGTCCATTTTCTCGCGACTCCTGTCTGGGAACGTCATCGCGAAGTCTCTCTTTAGAAAAAGCTCTCGCCTCACCACGTCGCCTCACTCACCCGGCTAAATGAACGCGCGACTCAGCCTACGGCGTTTCCCTTCGAGGTCCGAAGCGCGCACACGACACGACACCTCGCCTCGCACGTTTCTCGCACGGACACCCACACGATCACACAGTTGGCACAGGCTTGCCAACTGCCAGGTTGTTCGACCCGTTCGCGTCGTGGCTCTGCACCTTCCCCGCCGAATCAGGCCGAGGAACGGGTCTGTTGTATGCGTCAGGTCGCGCGCAAACCAGGATCGACTGTAGAAAGCAAACAGCCGAGAGCAGATTTCAGGGATCCTCGTCCTTGCAGATAAAAGTAACAAGAGATGTTAACCCCTTGACTGTGGATGACGTGTATAGCCGCATGAAAAAGTCGTGCCACCAGTGCGGATGACGTGTATCCACGCATCGAAGAAAAAGAAATAGTAAAACTATTGTTTTTTGCACACAGGTGGGTATCTATATGTTTTTGGACTCGCTGAATCCGAATTTGATATCAACATTTCGAAATTCAAAATGGCGGATCCAACATGGCGAGTCAAAATTATAAAAATAATCGGACTTTTATGAAAGTGGGTATCTATATGTTTTTGGGGTCGCTGAATCCGGATTTGATATAAAAATTTTGAAATTCAAAATGGCAGATCCAACATGGCGAGTCAAAATTATAAAAATCATGAAAATCTGATTTTCAAAATTTAGATCCGCCATTTTTAATTTTAAAATTTTGATATCAAATTTGGATTCAGCGATCCCAAAAACGTATAAATACCGACTTTCATTAAAATCTGATTATTTTCATAATTTTGACACAACATGACCGATCCGTCATTTTGAATTTTGAAATTTTGATAGCAGATTCGGATTCAGCGACCTCAGAAACATATAGATACCCACTTTCATAAATATCCGATTATTTTCATAATTTTGACCCGCCATATTGGATCCGCCATTTTGAATTTCGGAATTTTAATATCAAATTTGGATTCAGCGACCCCAAAAACCCTTATCATAAAAATATCATAAAGAAAATTCGACATTTTTTCCAACACAAAAATGGCACGACTAGTACATTTCTGTCTCCACAGTCAAGGGGTTAACAAGATTATCTTCATGTTAATTTCAATTGCACGATATGTCGTAAAGGACCGTTTTGCTTCTGACGGATCTCCGTCCGTTTCCATCGTTTGTCTGAAAATTGTCGACAATTTCAATACACGGAATTCTTCCTTACGTGAAATCCTAACGTCATTAGGGACGTGAAGCGACGAGAGACATTCAATTTCCGCTCACGTTTACATTGCGTATCTTCGCGTTAGATAAAACTCGAGTTTGCACGGGTTTATCCTTAATGGATATCGCTGATATCCATTGTATAAAAAATTTATAAAATAGATAAAATCGCCTTATCCTTATCGCCAGATAAATATTTGCGGAGGCAGCGCCCTTCTCCGCGTGAAAGTTTCACCTGCGAGTTTCGATCGAGAGAGGTCATTCTCGCGCGTACCGCGAGACTCTTCTCCCGGTTTGCTTTTCCCGCTCTCGTACTTAACCTCCATCTTTCATTTGAACGCGTGAAACGCAGAAACATGCGATTGAAAAACAAAGCATCGGAGCGCCCGGAGCGCCCGCGGCTCCTTTCGCACGATGATGGTGCGCTTTTTATCTTCCGCATCATCCAAGGATCTTTCGCTCGACGTTTTTCAAACGACGATCCCACCTCGTCATTTTTCTTTATCCTTCATGGCGTCGTGATCTCGAGCGACTCGGCCATTGGCCACGAAGAATCGGGACGAAGCGTTCCGATCGTAGTGTTTACACGGCAGCTTTCATCCGGTTTAGTAGACTGCCGTACTTGGTGATTTCTTGCGATTCATGTATTCTTTTAGACCCGAAAAATGGACTCCAATTAAATGCAAGAGCTTATCAGTTACAATTGCAACGAAACCGGAATGACGGATACCGTGTCAACGTTAATCGTAGACGCAATAAAAATAGACCGAGCATGAAGTTCGAAACCTGAAGATCAGGTAGAAAGAAACGCATAAAGCAGGTGCCGTGTATCTTTCTCTCTCTCTCTCTCTCTCTCTCTCTCTCTCGACGAGAAAAGAGTGGGGGAGTGTGAGAAAGAGCAGAGAGACGGTTGAGTGAGGAGGTTATGCTCACAATTCGAAGAGAATTAGTGTCTGGAAACATTTTTAAATATTTTGAATAACCCAACATATCGCATGTGCGTCACGTATTGTTTATCTGCGTCTCACTGCGCATGCGTGAACGTGAGAAAGTTACACACGGCACCTGCTCTCCGCCGTCCTTTGAGACACCTCCACGGCGGAGTTCCGCCATGACGCATCGTGGCTCTGCTATCCGTTCGAAAAACATCGGAGCGCGAGTATGAAAGTGCTCTTCACGAATGACGACATGCTTTTGCGTTTTAGCTCGATGTGTGGAGAAACCTCTAGAAAAGCATTCGTCGCTGCGCGCGCTGCTCCCGAGCTCGAAGAACGAGCCGTCGACCAATGAGAAGAGACCTCCTCCTGGGTACGCGGGAGTACAACGTAGCCGTTCGCGGAGACGTGCGTCTTCGCGCAAAACGACGCTGTGAAAAACAAACTACCTGCCGGCCACGGTGACGTCGCGACACGAGGAAGGTGGACTTCCAAATTGTAGCATTCTTCATTTTCTGACGCTCAAACTGTCCGGCAGACTTTTTCGCTTTCAGTTTCACCCGTCGACCGTGCCAATCCCGGCAATAGCAGCTTTCGCCTCTCATCGCCGCTTGTGAAGTCGATAGAGACAGAGAGAGAGAGAGAGAGAGAGACAGAGAGAGAGAGAGACAGACAGAGAGAGAGAGACAGAGAGAGAGAGAGAGAGAGAGAGGGACAAAGAGACACAGAGAGAAACAAAGAGAACGTACTCCTCGAGCCAAGGTTATCTAATCTCCGCGGCAACTCGGCCAATGTGGCCGCCGCCGAAGAGAGGGTCCGAGAGACGACTCAGCACGCGCCGCCATTTCCGCGCGTCGCGTCATCTGCGAGAGACACTCGCGCCGTGGCGGCGCTCAGCTGTGTGCAGTGACTCGGCCACAACGGTGTGTAGCCAGTAACGGGGGGTATGTGACGGCTGCGTCGGAGGGACGGACGGCCGCGCAGATCAGAATCGTGTCGTCGCAGGCGAATCCGTGACTCGTGGCGATCGAACGCGTAGCGATGCGACGACGGTGCAAGTAGAAAATGGACGCGAGCAGCGCGATCGAAGGAGGAGCAACGTCGTCGTACGTGGTCGCGCCGCTGCCGTTACCGTCGCCGCACTTCGGGCTTCTGTGATCCGCGCGCGGAGGGCCATCGAGACGAGGAGGCGAATGCGACGCGGCGGTGGGCCGCGCGAACGAAGCTGACAGCTCGCCGCCGACGATCCCGAGCAGCAAACATGGGCAACTGCCTGAAGCGCGCCGGCGGCAATCAACAGGACAATACCACTCTGCTCAGCAGCAATCCCGAGTCCGCCGTGTCCACCAGCGGTTCCTCGCAGGAGGGCCTCGGACCGCCGATTCCTTACAACGTAATTACGCGCCGCTCTTCTTCACGCGCTCCTACGCTCTCTTTCTCTCTCTCTTTCTCTCTCTCTCTCTCTCTCTCTCTCTCTCTCTCTCGTTCTCTCTCTCTCTCTCTCTCGCTCTCGAGGTCGTCGTCGTTGAGTCGCGTCGCTCTCCTCTCCTCTCCGCGAGGCCCGATCAGCTGTATTGCCTCTGCCCTCCCCGCTCTCGTTGCCTCTTCCTTTCCCCTTTGTCCGCCCGTCTGATTTCCGTCTGTTCCCTTTGTTTTGGTCTCTCACGGAGAAAGCGCAGCGCTCAGGAACGCGACACTCGCGTCGGGCACCAGCGCGATCAGTTTAATTTATTACCGTTTGTTAATTTATTAGCGTGGCTCCGACTGCTGAGCTAGTGGTCTATGCGACTACCTTCCTCCTTGATGATTTCATACTGTTGGCTGTGCAAACAGCTTCGTCCATGGATACTCGCAGAGCCTCGTCAGCGTTCAATGATTCCTGGAACTTGTGCAAATTGTGTAGAGAGTCTCTCTGTGTTTGCACAAGTTTCGAGGATCCAATAGTGACACAAGAATCATATATGCTAACTTGACTTTTGATGTCCCACAGCAAGCGGTGGCGTCTTACTACCCGTCGATCGCGACGAGGGAACCTCGTCACCTACAGTCCACTAACTTGAACATCAGCCGCGGCATCGGCGTGAACCTGATGCAAGGTGTCGGGTCAGCCGGCCTGAGCGACGAGGAGCAACAGATGAGGATCGCCAAGCGCATAGGACTCATACAACACCTGCCGATGCGGGAGTACGACGGCACGATGAAGGGAGAGTGCGTGATATGCATGATGGAGTTGTTGGCCGGCGAGGAAGTGCGCTATCTACCCTGCATGCATACCTACCACGCGATCTGCATCGACGACTGGTTGCTACGCTCGCTCACCTGTCCGTCCTGCATGGAGCCGGTGGACGCAGCGCTAATTAGCTCATATCATCCGACTACTTAATACACCAGAGTAACCGGACTTGTGCTTTGATTCCGATCGGCGATTGGAATTCAATTATCCAGGCTAAACGGAGCGACTGCAGCGAGAACGAGAGAGCGAGAACGAGAGAGCGAGAGAGAGAGAGAGAGAGAGCGCGCAAGGGCGAGTGAGAGAATGTAAGAATGAAAGAGAGAGAAAGAGAGAGAGAGAGAGAGAGAGAGAGAGAATCGCTACTTTTTGCTATAGAACGTTTAAAGGCTTCTGGTTAGTAGAGAGATCCGTGTGTCAATGGCCTGACTGTATTCGCCATTACACCCGATATATATACGCGCGCGGGTGCTGTTTTAACAATATCTGTATCACATGACATACTTATTACATCCGCAAGAGTATTTGAGTTTTTCCTCGTTAGATTGTTTTTTTTTCTTCTTTTCCTACAAGACCAACGACGAGTGCGAGGAAAAGACTTGCGTTCGCGATGAAATCTCATTGAAGGACACACACCGAGGTATCCTTGCCCGTGTGTGGTAGTGAGTTAATGTCGCTTGCAAATTGATTTCCTACTAGAGAAGAAGGGGGAAAAAGGGAGGAAGGAGTCGGCTTGATGTAAGCGTGCAATAATGTTGAGTAACATCGATAGGTATAGTCGAAACAGTATATATGCGTAGTGATGTGAGATGCGAGCGAGGCGACCGCCGTTGTATCGTATAAATGCTCCTTTTGCGTAACACGGCGAGACCGTTCAACGAAACAACGCGTGCAAGTCGCGTTTCCCCTTTGTCTTTCTGTTTCTCCGATCAAGAGCGATAAAGAGCGGATTAATCGGCGTTCCACGGCCGCGTCGTAGGGCGCAAAGAGCGCGACGCTTTTTCTTTCGTGTGCAGACTATACGTGCGACTTTCCAAGCATATGTCGAAACTGAACGAGCCTCGTTTAATGAACGTCTAAATGCGTAGACGATAATAATGTTAATGATGATGATGATGAGGACGACGACGACGACGACGACGACGACGATGTCGATGCAGATATGGACAGTCTGTTGTATATTTTCGTGACGAAAACAGGACTGTCTCTCTTTTAACGATCTTCGTGACGTTTGAATTCCTCCCATGCCTCGCATGTGTTGTTACGAGACTACGATGAAAATCGCTTGAACCGCTTGTACCGCTGTCGCGACCGATCGAACATTTTCTCTTTTCTTCTTTTTCTCATTTGTTTTTTTTTTTTTTTCACTTAGATGTACGTGTACAGAGAGAAAGAACGCTTTGTTGCGTGTATGCCACGGATGATTAGCGGTTTGTTATTAATGATAACGCGAGGACGCAGAACGTGGCGGAGCAACGGATAAAAATGCGAGAAGAGGATAAACAAAGGGGCCGGGGGGAGGGAGGGACAGAGATAAAATGCGACGAATGATCCGCACCACATGCATACACATATTATTGAACACGATGTTGACAATGGGCTACGTAACTTAGATTCTGTCGTTGATTTAGTGAAGCTTGTTGAACTAACTTTTGCAGGGCAGTTACAGAGCAATGGACATTTGCTGTTTCGCAGAGTAAAACTTTACAGAGAGAGAGAGAGGGAAAGATATGTACAGTTTCGTGTAGTTTCATACGTCAGTGTAAGATACGCGATAATAGTTTTACCGGTTTAAGGCAGAAGCACATTTCGAACAACGTGAACGCGACTAAAGATTATTAATTTATAAAGAAAAAAGATAAAAAAAGAAGCTTGATATGCAATATACGGTATCGCTAAGTTTTCGTTCTAAATGAGAAAATGATGCTGTGAAATAGTGATTTATTGAGAATATATATAATATATATAATATATATATATATATATATATATATATATATATACATATATATATATGTATATACATACATACATACATACATATATACACTCAATAATCACACACACATATGATTTAATACACAGATATAAATATTTAGTGAAAAAGGTTGTTTTAAAATTGCCCTGCTCGACGCAAAATTTCTCGATCGGACGTTCGAACAATTAGAGCTACATCTTGCGAGAATTTAAGTAGAGAGAATAACGTAATTTTATATAAAAGAGAGGCGAAAAAAAGGACACACAAACATGAAAAGGCCAATGTTTACGAGTTTATCTGTATGGATCTCTTTAAGAGTCAAGGATTCGGACCGTTTGACGTCCCAATGACACAGCGCGCGTTACGTCGCTCTAATCAATGTAACGAACACCGTAGCGATCAATCTCTTGGGGCATCACACTGACAATCTACCGGGCTATATAATCGTAAGGGCTCGATAACGACAATTGTATTCGACTTGTATGTTGAGAAAGAGAGAGAGAGAGAGAGAGAGAGAGAGAGAGAGAGAGAGAGAGAGAGAAAGGAGAAGATAATAAATATTTGATTGGAAAAGAAACAAAAAAAAAAGAAAAGAGAATCTTTTCCTCGTCATTTAATCAACATCGAGGGATCTCTCTTTTCACGAGGTTATGTGCGACTCCCGACAAGATGGTCCCGAATTGAGGGTAGTTTGAATGAAACGACACAGCACAATTATAAAAGTAAAAATGTGAGAATTTTAGTGCATTACATGGATACTTACAAGAGAGGAAATCTTATCTGCGTACGCCGCGCGTTAATTAATCGTTGTTAATATTGCTATTTACAAATAGGTTTTGTAAAATTCGGAAATCTCGAGACGGGTTACGAGCGACGTCGTGTCTTTTCTTTCGTTTCTTATTCATTTGAAGGCAGTGTCGATAGCGTTGAAAGATTGCGTTTACGGTTTAATTATTGTCGGCGGTCGTCAGGTATCACGTCTCGATTATTGAGCAAGTTTCTGAGACTGCAAGATTCACTTATTGCTTTTATACAAAAGATTTTGTAAGATTCGATCTGACCTCGGTAAAGAATTTCTCACGCGTCGCAGCTCCCTTATTTATTGTATTTTAATTTATGCAATATCTACTCATGTGGATAGACAATATGGGAAGATCTTTTCCTCCGTTGCTTTTCCGTGTCTTCTGTACTGTAAACGTCATGTTGAACGAAAATTCAGCCCGCGACACGATCTGGCGAACGTGTCGTGAGATGCGAGAATAGCCGATTTCGACAACCAATATTTTTTCTTTTTGTTGTGTTGCGTGATTTTACATACATATGTGTATATATATGTATACATATATTGTGTGACATATAATATATATATATATATAAATATATATAAAATATATATATATGTTATGTTATATACATAATGCTGTATAATTACATATATATGTATATGTATATATATATATATACATATGCATACATACATATACATATACACACACATGGTTTGCAGGAAAATGTGAAGATTAAGTTTCATTTACAAATATTCTAGTGCACTGGCAAATTGTACATATAGATTAAAGTATACACATAAATATTATTCTAGTGGTATACATTTTAATGTATTTCTCCCAATGGTGCTTTGGCAAAAGCGTACTTTTATTAGCACCACACGAATGCAGTCTGGTCTTGGGGGTACGATACAACGACGACGGACGAATTTTGCCTCCGGCGCGCTTTTGTACTTGGTCCGACTCGAAACTACCGATATAATCTGCCTGCGAGGCACTCGACAAAACCGCTGCATCCGTGAACAGAACGACGAGGGGCAATTCCAACTATGTGAACAATTTCGCTAGAACTAATAAATAGAAACGCGCTCGGGGTTGCGCTCTTCCTAAGCCTCGCTCTTAGTCAGCTTACGGAGTGCTACGAAGACAGCGTTAATCAGTCGCTTTTCTTTCCTTTCTTCTGCGCGGGAACGCGGAGATGCGGCGATCTGTACAACTTCGCGATATTTTACAAGATGACGGCGACGAGAATAATTCTAGTTATTACAAATTACGAAGGGAGGAGCGAGAGGACACTCGCGGGTCGTATGGACGATCTGTACACGCTGACCTCCTCGCTCTATGCGACTATGGGGCATCCCCAGCTCTCTCCCTCCCGCTATTTCAACACCGACACATTCAATTGTCCGCGTTACCCTCATAGAAGGATTCGCATTTGTCGAGCAGACGCAGAACTGGGTTGATGTTGTAAGGAAACAACGCCTTGGACACCAGCCGGTTGATGGCCATTCGCAGTCTCGTTAACACGGTCATAATGTCCGGCAGTTCGCGGCCGCAGCACGACACGAACTCGAGCCAATTGCGTCGGATGTACTTGAGGAAGCGCAGCAGGTACAGCAGGAAACAGGTCTCGTTGCTGACGAGCAGGTCCAACAGCACATCCGGGTCCTGCGATACGGCGTTCACGAACTGCACGAACGTGAGCGTCGGGCTCAGCATGTGACCTAGGTCATTCTGCGGCGGGCCGCGGTAGAAGAGGCCCACGGCGACGTCCAAGCAGCAGACCATGCCTTCGATGAGGAAATCGTCCTGGTCGTGGAACATTTGCACGACCCACTGCGAGAGCGGCATCTCCGGGTGGAACGGCATCAGCGTCTTGACGCATTGGTCCAGCTGACGCAACACCTCGCGGATGCTTCTCTCGATCACCGCCATGTCCGCGTCCAAGTCTTCGGCCTCGGAGCCCAGGGACGAGTCGCTGGTGTCGCTGCGCGTCTCCCGCACCGTCACGGCGACGCTCTTCAGCACTAGCAGCACCATCTTCTGCAGCAGAGGACGGTCGCCTTCGCCGGTGCCTCCGCCGAATCGGCCGGAGCCGTGGCGGTATGGCATCGCGTCGAGTAATCGCCAATCCTTGACCGCCCGGACGATCAGGTGTGCAAGGGCGCACGGCTCGTCCGGCAACACATCTTGTAGCGCGAGCGTGCTGCCGTAACACAATACCTCGTTGAATAGACTCAGCAGGTGTCGCCAAATTACGCTTGGCACGCTCGCGTTCAGCAGCCCTACGAGAATATCCAACTTCGAATAGAAAAGCTTGGTGTCGATGACCGACAGATTGGCCTTGACGGAGATCACGGTCTCCCATAGATGCAGGAACGTGATGACAACAGACTCGTGCTGCGGCGTGTACGCGTTGAGGATGGCCTCGAACTTCGACACCAGGATGATCCACTTGGACTCGAGCGCCTTCACACACGTCGCCTTGATCGCCGTGCTGTCGAAGCTCTCAGAATCGGACATCACGACGGTGTTGCAGCCGGGCGGCGGGGTGGACGCGTCCGCGTCTTCCAGTGGGTGTATACTGCAATCTTTGTGTTCCACCACCCTCTTCACTACGTCCAGGATGAACAACATCTGAGCGGGTGAGTGCGTGTTTACCAAGGACTGCGTGAGTTTTTCCAACCACGGTTGCACGTTGTCCTTCGTGACGATAAAGAACGAGGCGAGCACTCGGCTTGCAGCGAACGACACGAACTTGTCGGTTGTGTACGACAAGTCGATGATCTGATCGATCACACCGTGTTCATTGCGCGCCAACGCTTTGCAAGTGTCCAATACGCGTTTGCACATCAAGCCCCTCACGTTCTGCTTGATCGCCAGGTCGAACAGCAGCTGCAGAGCGCTCAGAAACTTGAGGGTCTGTTCATTGCTCCATTCGGACAGGACAAAGTAGCGAAAGCTGCCATCAGCTGCTTCCACCGTGGTGCTGGTAAACGGCTTGCGCAAACTGCTCTCCGACACATTGCACAGACATTGCGCTAGCAAGCTATTCTGCAGTTCCTCGATGTCGGCAAGCGCATTCTTGGAGTCCTCGCTACCGTCGACACGCTGTTTCTTCTTAACTGGCTCCTCCATTGTACCGATGGGAGGATAACGAGGATAACAGCGTGCAAGCACCATTAACTCTTTTCAGGTTAACTCTCTTATGTGAAAGCCACTGCTGAGAGGCAAGTGTCCGAAGAATAATAAGTTACTCGTACTCTGCGTCAGCCCATTGCAGCTGGCACACGTGTGGCGCCATTGGGGATACCTGCAGCGAGAGAAACAAAATTAGCATCAATATTTATACCGAATTGTGTTATCGTGTAGTAAACAAGAGACACTGAGAAAACAGCTTGTCGCTGACCTATCGTTGATGCTCTGGCAATAATGCCTTGGAAATACTGTTGGAGGTTATCTTGCCTGTCCTATACATATCTGCACAATTATCCTTCTATTGTGTATTGTACATTATGCCAACACTTTGAACGTACAAGTATTGTATAGACTGTAATCATTGGGGAGACAGTCCAAGGGTAAACCAACCTGATGAGTCGGACATGTGATTGATACTGCCCGTACATCATACATCATACTGCAAATATTTACATATACACTAAGGCTACACGTATAAAAACTAAATGTTCACGTTCCATTTGTGCTTTAGAGCCTGCCCATTGTAAAATTGCACGATTCTACACGTGAATTCTTTTGATATCGTTAACACACAGCAGGCTATGCCGAACAGTGGCTGCACGTAACACCAGTAGCCGGACAAGCGGACAAGGCGGAATTCACGGTGTTCAGCGCATTTCTCGAATCGCGCGGACGCATCAACTCCGCCGATGCCCACCGGCGACACGGCTGCCAGGGTAGCACGACTGTACGTAACACCAGTAGTCCGCTAACCGACGGACGGCGAAACTTACACAGCGTGAAATTCCTATCGCGCTACTCTCGCGGCTTCTCGGTGTACCCAAACAAATAGAATGCGCGCACGCACTGGTACATGCGTGCTCTCTCCTCCGTCTCCGGGGACACAGACATGTGTGTGTGTGTGTGGTCAGATGATCCTTCGGGGCGATCCTCGGCGCGTCGACGGCGTCGTCGTCGGGCGCGCTTGAGAGGCCGGGCTGAGAGGCTCGGCGCGCGCGATCCCTTGGACACGATCCGCGCGTGTGGAACGAGCAGCACGACGCGCTGGTCGCCGCGCGAACCGCGCGAGCACGCGATCGCTTTATATGAACGGCGGCGGGCGACGTACCGATCCGGATCCGGAGCGTGGGGGGCACGTCTACACGAGGCGTGTGTAGATCCACGCCGTCCCCGTCGCGCACGCACGGCTGCGGAGACGGGTCGGGACGGGAGCGCGTTGTGCTGCGCGCACCGTACGTATGCGAGAGACGCACCTGGTCTCTCACTCTCTCTCTCTCTCTCTCTCTCTTTCTCTTTCTCTCTCTCTCTCTCTCTCTCTCTCTCTCTCTCTCTCTCTCTCTCTCTCTACCTCGTCGTACCGCCGACGAGAACTCTCTTGACTAGGAAGTGACAGAGCAGCGCTCGCACGGCAGCCACACAGCACGCTCTGTTGCCACGTATACCCGGTGCTACCGACGAAAAATACGGGAGCGCGTCTCCCGGCTCGGCGTGGACGGGCTGCGGCCGAGGTACGCACCGTGTCCGATGTCGGGCGGCGAGACGATGTCAAGACGGCGGCCGCGGCGCACGGCTTTCCGGGCGTTTAGCGTGCATTTTCGGCCGAGCATCGTGCGGAGTCGCGTAACACGGTAGCTGCCCGTCGCGCATTCCATAACGCACTGAGCGCCCCAGCGCGAGCCTCCCGCGCGAGCAATTGCGCGCGGACGCGGCCGCCGGCCGGCGAAATATACCGCCGGTGCCTAATCCGCCGTTATCGCGAATAAAAGTCGGCCGGATCGAAAAGCCGTGCGATAAATACGCGCGCTATCATCGGCAACTCAGCATCGATCGTGGCGCCCCGGCGCGGCGGCTGCCGCGAGCACGCGGCGCGCGCTGGATTTCGGGAATGCGAGCGGCGCGAGCGCGCCTGAGGCCCCCCGAGGCCCAGGGAGTCGCGCCGGCGCTGCCGGACCCTTTTTTCGCCCTTGCCTCGTGGGGACGACAAGGGCACGTGATGTGTGATCTCGCATCGACGCGAATTCCAATTCGTTGATTGGGCTCTCCGTGCTGCATCCGCCAGACCTGAGCGGTTCCGTTGCGCCGCGTCGGATTGGGGGATGGCTCGCCGTCTCTTTCCGACTATACACACACACACACACACACACACACCCACACGCATGTCGTGAACACGCGGCGTACACACTACAGTCGCATACACACGTGGAAATTGCGAAGACGATGCTTTTCTCACGTGTTTCGGATCAAGATCAATACTTGCATTCGGACATTGCGCAATATGCGCAATCGTATTTTATTCGTATTTCGGAGAACGGTTCTTCTTCTTTTGCTTCTGCTTTGTGAATATGCCTGCAGAACGCGGCTTGAACATCTCTCTCGCGGATGATGTGATTCTGATATAAACATCGGTTGTGTTCGAGCAGAAAGAATTGCTTTGAAATTTGCTGCAAAACGCGCGAATCTGACTGGTGCGTTCTCTTAATCCTGACTAAATCTAAGAGCGTACACCGATAAAATTTGCAAATCCGCTGAACGCAGCCCAGACAGCACATATGTCCAAAACTGGGACATAAGTCGTCTTAAAGACGTCTTAAAGACGTCTTATGTCCCAGTTTTGGACATTATGCTGTCTGGGAGTAGTCATTTGTTAACTTATTTGAACAGTGACGAGATATATTTAAGACGTTCCAAATCTCTGGACTGAATACTTTTTCACGGCTCGTTTGCGAAGTAACGAAATATATACTCAACACATCCGTTGCGAGCGGAAGAATGCGTTGAGTAGGTAGTAAAACTGATGGTTTCAGTTTTACGATTTATAAAGGTTAGGCGGGATCGCACGCGTGTGTCTGTCCGCTATCTTTTAGTCAATAGGATGAAGAAGGAAACTTCATAGATCATTTTAGACTTTTGTAGCAGATAACCCTCGAGTGACAACGCGTGGGCCGAAAACAAAAAGAACAAAAAGATCAACCGCTACTTCCCCCACTTTTATTTTCGACTTTCAGTCCCTTTTGACCTGAAATTTCCTTTGTATTTCTCGATCTCGGAGAGATATAATCATCGTTCGCCGAAAAGAATTCCCTCGCGAATTCCTTCTTTCCAGAAGGGACTTAGGATCCACCCCCCGGATTCGACGCCCCGTAGGTTTTGCAATGTCTTTTTATATACAGAAATGACACGTTATTATGCACACAGAATGCTTTAGAACATCTAATGAGACCTACGTTCCGATATTAATTCGCAGATACTGAAACTATGGAGTATGCGCCACATGGATTGTAAAGGGTTTTTCAATAAGGGCGGGTCGATGTTGCAATGGAATAAAACAAGCTGTGTGTGAGGTATTAACGAAATTCTTTTTTTATTTGAAAGGCCCATGTATGCCATTATGTGTGAAATATAACATCGTTCAAATGTCCGCCGCGGCTTCTCACGGTGGCACGGATCCGAGTGGTCCAATTTTCAATGATTCTGCCGCATAGATCCGGCTGAACTTGAGCGATGGCCTGGGTTATGTTGACTTTAAGGGCATCGGTCGATTGCGGCTTATTGGCATAGACCTGCGACTTCAGAAAACCCCACAAGAAAAAGTCTAGCGGGGTCAAATCGCACGATCTTGGTGGCTAATTCACGTCACCTCTGCGAGAGATAACCATACCCTCAAATCGTTGATGCAGAATGTCCATCGTGGCGTCCGCTGTGTGGCACGTAGCGTCGTCCTACTGGAACCACATGTCGTCCACGTCCATATCGTTCAATTTGGGCCAAAAGAAATTGGTTATCATCGTTCTGTAGCGCTCGCCATTGACGGTGATGGCCTCACCAACGTCGTTTTCGAAAAAGTACGGACCAATGACGCCGCCGGCCCAAAATCCGCACCAAACAGTAACTTTTTGTGGATGCTGTTGAACCTCGTGTGGGTTGGCGTCGTGCCATATACGGCAATTATGCTTGTTAACATAGCCATTCATTCAAAAATGCGCCTCGTCGCTAAAGATGAGTTTTCGGCCAAAATTGGGGTCCTTTTCCAAATGCTCCGAAGCCCAGTCAGCGAACAAACGGCGTTGTCTATGGTCATTAACTTTGAGCTCCTGGGCCAGTTAGATCTTGTACGGGTGCAGGCCCAAATCCCGACGCAAAATTCGCCAAGTTAAAGTCTGCGAAAGGCCGAGTTCTTGTGCACGGCGAGGAATTGACTGCCTCGGGTTCTCCTGCACACTTTCACTTACAGCGGCGATGTTCTCGGCCGATCTGGCGTTCCTTTGACGTACGGGTATTGGCTGATCGTTTACCGAACCGGTCGTCTCGAATTTGGCCACCAAACGTTGGATAGTCGACTTTGAAGGGCCACCGCGTCTGCCGTAAAATGGGCGCAACGCGCGCAACGTTTGCACTAACGAACACTCATTTTGATAATAAAGTTTTATCATTTGGACGTGCTGCTCAATCGTGTAACTTGTCATGGTGATTTGGAATCAGTGGCTGAATAATAAACAACAGGTTAGACAGACGCCGCCAAAACAACATAGCCGCCACAGGCTGCCAACATCGACCCGCACCAATTGAAAAACCCTGTAGATCTTTAAGCCCCTTGCACAATGCCAGGCAACAGGCAATAAGAATAAAAATAGACCAATCACAATAGATTATTTTTGTAACAGTCGATTGTGATTGGTCTATTTTTATTCTTATTGCCTGTTGCCTGGCATTGTGCAAGGGGCCTAAAGCCCGTGTCACACTACGGATTGAATATCAAGGATTGCGGATTGAAGATTGAAATTTGACCAATCGGAATAAAGCAAATCAAAAGCGAAGTTTGTTGATTCGTCGAAATCTAATCTTCAATCCGGGTAATGTGACACGGGCTTTAGTACTAGCGGTGAATATCAAAACGCGCAGCGTAAGGCCCCTTGCACAATGCCAGGCAACAAGCAATAAGAATAAAAATAGACCAATCACAATCGACTATTACAAGAATAATCTATTGTGATTGGTCTATTTTTATTCGTATTGCCTGTTGCCTGGCATTGTGCAAGGGGCTTCAATCTCATCCGTTACGGCTTATTTCCAACAAGGAATACTGTGTTACGCGAAGCTATTTTATTGGCTATGTATTATCTTAGAAAATTGCTTAGATGTCTAAGGACTGTATTCATAGTCCGGTCTTATATTTAAGATCGTTTTAAGTTCATCTTCAGATGCTGTATAGCATAATTTCATTGGCTACCGAATATCTGAACGTGAACTCAAGACGGTCTTAAATATAAGATCCGACTATGAATACGGCCCTAAGATTTCGTTCCGATATTCACTGCCAGTAACTGAAAATCTATAATATATGTGACACAGACTAAGTATTTTCAGTACAAGGCCCCTTATTCTCTATATTATTTCTGTACCAAAATTCGTGGACAATATCGTATACCATATTTCATAAATGAGGCAATTTAATTGGCTGAGAATCGTGATGATCTAGTGACATTCAAGAAATATCGTATACGACGTTTTTCAAAAATATCCTGGCCCTGGTAGTGAATATCGGACCACAGCCTGAATAAGTGGCTGCATTCAGCAGACTCAATAGTTGGACAACATTACTAGATTTTCCACTGAATCTCGCTCCTGATTGGTAAATACTTCTGGGTCTATGAAGAATCTAAAAGAATGCTTCAATCACAGACAATAATCACTAAACGCTCTCTGATCACTTTGTTCTACTGAACGCGGCCGTTGAGTTGTTATTGCTCCTTCCTAGTTTCTCATCTCCAATTTTCCTTTGCGGGTCTAGGAATTTGTCTGATGGTGTTTGAGGAAATTCTGCCATTCACGCGTGTTTCACTCTGTCAGTTTCACTGAGAATACATAGTTTGTATCACGTATACTATAGATTTTCAGTGCTGGCAGTGAATATCGGAATGCAGCCTGTGGCTGCATTCCGATATTCACTGCCAGCACTAAAATTCTATAGTATACGTTACACAAACTATGTATTTTTAGTACTGGCAGTGAATTTCGGAACGCAGCCTGTGTTGCGTACAGAACACGCGGCGGAAGTTGATTAGAAAATATCGCAGTAGCCAATCAACGTCCCAAATGCCGTGTGCTCCAAACGTTATTTCCGGGTAAGCAAAATGCTGAACGGCTACCGCAGTATTCCCTAGCCAACTTCCGTCGCGCGGCAAGCGTGCCGCGTCCTGTGTGCAACCGACCTATAGCGATTTGGCAATCTAGATATAAACGATACACTGCGCAATATATCATTTTCGTTCTCAACGCGAAAGGAGAAGTGCGAGTCGGAGTGTCGGAGATACAGTCGGAAAATGGCGTCGTCGAGTACTCAACGGTGGATGGTGGACTCTGGAATTCTGCGTAAAAAGAATAACGACGAGCAACCGCAGGAGCTATTGGTCTTCGGATATAGCTGCAAATTGTTTCGCGATGATGACAAGGCGAAAATGATTGATCAGGGAAAGCATTTGATACCATGGATGGGCGATAACACGTTGAAGATAGACAGGTCCGTTTCTGTAACCTAGACCAATTTCTCATATAGAATATTTGTTCTCATGCGATAAGAAAAAACAAAAAAAAACGCATCGTAAATATGTCACGTTTTTGACAAACGACCAACTCAGACAAAAACGAAAAATTCCAAAAATAAAAAAAAATTATATATATCAAAATGAGTCAAGTGCTGCGTTTGAAAGGAAATAGAATCCGTAGACCCAAGGTCCTCCCTCTTCATCGTTAATGTTTGGATAAGCAAACTGGAGACTGTTTAAGGCTTCCGCAGGTGTCTCGGCTGTGTCGAACGTGCCGAACGTGTGGCAGCGCGATATCGCGCTCTGCACGGTCGCAGAATCAGATGCTCTTGTGATGCTTATGGTGCTTATGGCTGACCGTCTGAGCAGCAGCAAGGTGAGACACGGCGTAGAGAGACAAGTGGCAGCTGACGGTTGTAGGTATTACGACCGTTCAGCATGGTATGTATTAGCATATTAGACTCTGTCCCAGGAGCCACTTAGGACATTGTTACAAGTTCGCAAGTATACAACATAGATCTGTTGATACAGTGATACGTGTATAAATGTCCAAATTTGTGTCAAATATCAACAATACTGGGTCATATTCAAACCTCAATATACAGATTTCTTGTACACAATATGTAACATAATTAGCATTATTCCAAGATTATATATTCCGTTATATATCCCAAAAGTTTAAATATATGAAAATGTAAGAATATATAAATTATTGGAAGCATACAATTTTAAGCAAGATATATGATCAGTTGTATCATTTAAAATGTTTTTAAGTTGTCGTATAAATGTATGATATGTGATATCCAAGAACAATCATAAAAAGAACATTTGTAAAGTTAAATATTAACAGAGGTGGAAATATTACATTAAATATTAATAAAGGTAGAAACATGCGCAGCATCTTCCACAACTCCATTCTATTTCAGATGGATCGCTTTGATGGGATTTATTTCTTGATTTAGATTTCCAGATGCCGTGATCAACTGTTTGTGTACATCAACAGTTAAAAGAATATCATCTTCTTTCTCTAATAGATTTATTGTATGTGTATAGATACGATGGACGAGGCGCACTGGGTGACCTACGGATTTACGAGCCACCAACAGGTGGTTTCGATCAAAGGACCATACTCACCGAGGAGGAGCTGAAAATTGAGCAACTCTGTGATGAGGAGCGGTTTCGGTCCCTTTACCACAATGATGAGGAGGAATCCATATATCATGGTAATTACATGTTTTTTTTTTTTTTTTACAAAACTTCTATATTTTATTATTATATGTTAAATGTAAGTTACAGAGAGAAATATATATGTTCTAAACTTGTGTTCGTTACAGAAGAGGAAATGAAGAGGTTGCATCAAGCATTAGACTCTGAATCCTATCATCAAGTGGGATTTAATTATAACGAGGACGAGAATGGTCACAAGGCTACGTGTGAAGACTCGCAGAGTCCGAAACAGTCGGAAGGTTCGCAAGAGGAAGATCAGGCATTTGTTCCACCTCCTGAACTGGAAATTCCAGAAGGAATAATTCTGGTAAGATCGCCTTAAGTATAATCTTATGATGCTATAGTCTTTTTTTCTTGGTCATGTATCATCTACACTTTTTGCAAAAACAATATTTTCTTGAGTAAAGGTTAGATAAAACAACATTAATCTTGTTTGTTTAGCCGGAAACTCAAAAGCTGAATGCCATTATAACAAAAACGGCGTTGTTTATAAGCCGGCAAGGGAGCCAAATGGAAATTCTAATAAAGGCGAAACAAGCGAACAATCCGCAGTTTGCTTTCCTATCGATAGACGGGCCGCTTCATCAGTATTATAGATATGTCCTCGATGCTATCAAGAGTGGAAAATATAATCCTGAAAAACAACCTGAGAAAGAAGAATCAGGTATGTTTATTATTTTCTATGAAAAAAGGGTCTCTTCATAGTAATATCACATTGAAGTTTACATTACTGAGTTGAGGTAATTGAAGCAACATAAAGCAGGATTTGATTACCCACACCTACTTTGATTCTACTTAGTTTTTCTTGCCGTAAGTATTGCCATAAACTTTTGTTAATATACATTGCTATCCGCTATATGTTAATTTATCCGTCAATGATCTTGACATGTGCGCGATACTAATCTTCCTCTTTTCTTTTTTAATGATAGAACCTGAGGAAGAGTCGGACGCGGATGACGAACCGTATTTGCATCCAAGTCTCGCGCCGTCTTTTACAAAAATCGAAGCGGTAAGTTAAGCGTTCTGTCGCGCTCGTATTAATCTATTCTTAAAAATACACGCAAAAGCGATTTTTACCGATTGTGACCACCGACAAAATTTTGCTTTCGAAATCATTCGAAACGGCATGGACGAAATGTCTCTTTAAAATGCCACATCTAAAAGTGCAGGAATCTCAATAAAATAAAATGCTAAATGATTCTCAGCAACACTATATTTTATCCGATATTTTTACTCTCTTTTATAGGACTGATTGGATTTGTTCCTATGTATTTTTTATTTACTCATTTGCCGTGCCATGAGACCAATTGTGTGTGCCACAGGAAGATACAATTATAGCATAAATTAAGTATCCAACATACTGAAAACAATTCTTTTCTCTGTCTACAGGCACCTAGTATACCGAGTATACAATATAAACCGTCGGCGGATTGCGCGTATTCCATGCTAGTGAATAAGATCACAGGGAAGCCGCCACCTTCTAAAATACCGCAAACGTTGGACACAACAATTCAGCCGATGCCGTCTGCTGGCTACTATCACCCGATACCACCACAGGTATGGACGTTGCTCTGCCTTATTATAATACATACCGAATTTTGAAATGAATAGATCGTATTTTTCACAATCCACTTGTACGAATCCCAGTACTTTGAAAAAAAAAAGAGCCAATATTTTCTTAGAATCTGTGAACACTTAAAAATCTAAGATTTTTTTTTAGTAGCACAATCGTAAATTTCATTCTTTGAGTTACTAGAGATATTGGTTATTTAATCAATATACAATATATTCTAATGGAGGCCTCTGATTCTTTTTTCTAGAATTATCCTTATCCCACTCCTATGCAGTACTCGCACGGTCCTGTTATATACGGGCCAAACGGACAGATTCAGTCATCCTCGCAGCTCAATGTGCCGAGTGTACCGTCACCAAATGACACGACGACCGCGATGCAGACTTCGCCACCGAAGACCGAGACGTTGTCGTCGTTGGTGCCGTATGGAATACCTTCGCAAAAGCCGCTCAGCAGACCTTCCTTTATCGTACCACCGGCAGATGTGCAGATCATAATCGACAAAATGGCGAGTTACGTGGCGAAGAATGGTCGTGACTTCGAGACAATCGTCAAAAACAAGGGCGATCCCAGATTCAATTTTCTGGAACTGTCGCATCAATATCACGGTTACTACGCACATAAACTGACGATATACGAAGGCGCGATAAATCCTAAGGTGCTGACAGAGGAGGAGCTGCTGCAGAAGCAGGAGCCGCAGGAGGAGAAGCAAAAGAAGCTGGAGGAGTTGCAGAAGAAGCAGCAGAGGATGGAAGAAGTACAAAAGCGCGTGAAGATGATACAGGCGAAGAAGAAAGGCGACACTGCTAAAGTGAAACAGTGCTCGCAGGGAACGAAACAGATCACGACCGTGTCGTTTTCCATCAAGAAGCCGAAGGACGGCGAGAGCACGGTTATCGAAAAGAGAAACGCGTTGCCGTTGGAGGAAAGCGACGAGGAGGATAACGATAAGAAGGATACAAATTCCAAACCTGATTCACCTCAGGACGTCACCGATACGAGCTTTCCTGCGAGCATGGTCGGAAAAGATCTATCGAAGTCTGAAAAGAAACCAAAGAGCGACGATAAGGAATTGGTAGATCTGACGGACGATATTCTCGAAGATTGTCAGAAGGAGATCAGACACAGGCAAGCGGAAGACAGGATTAAAGACAAGCTGGTAGCTGCCGCAAGGGACAAGCTTGCAGCTACTTCTAGAGAAAAGCAGTTGCAGCTTGAGAGACGGAAAAAAGCTGCTATGTTCCTCAGCCAAATTCAAGCACCGACGCTCAGGTCTGGTTCAGTTACGAATACAAGCCATCGGAGGGATGATTTGGACGAGATTCATTCCGTGCCCTCGCCGATGTTGGAAGATAGCAATAGGTCGCAGGATACGAAGACGTGCGGCAATTCGTTGATGGACAGATTAAAGAGTGCGGACCTGAGCGGCAACAGGTCGAGGAAGCGGTCGAGGAGTCGAAGCGGAAGCCGTACTGACAGACACAAACTTCATAAGAAGCATAAGAAAAAGAAGAGTTCTCATCGAAGGTATCGATCCTCTTTCCGATATCGGTCATTCTCTCTGCCAGATATTTTGTTTTAAAATTTTACTCCTTATAGTTTTTATATTTAGTAATTTAATTCCTTATAGTTGTGTAATTTTTTAAATTTATGATCTCAGTCGTATAATTATTTAATTTTTCGTGATTTTTAGTATATATTTTTCACAGAGACTAATATTTTTGTATAATAAAAACTAACATCCAGCAGTTACGACAGTTCGAGTTCCTCACGCTCGCACAGATCCAAGAAGAATAAGAAGTCGTCCTCGAGACACCGGTCTCGCTCGCACAGTCCTTCGCACAGACATCAACACAATTCACGGCGAAGGAACAGCCACACAAGCCACTCGGACTCTAGTTCGCCATGATGGAATATTATCTTTACACGATTTAAATAAATTTATATGTGAAATGTATATAGTTATATGTCATATATATATATATCATGTGTATATACATATACATATATATATATATATATATGTGTGTATATATATATATGTGTATTAATTGCATACATATTTCTCGACTGAGCCATATGATGGATTTAATATACATTTTGTCATAAAGTAACACAAAAAATTGGCCTTGTTTTTATGTTCCCATTCGACTTTTGTTTTTCGCCAGAAAGAAAAACAAGAACAGCTATTATTCTTCCTTCATAAACACTTCTCAACTTTCTATTGTCGCAATCCTCATCCATTATGCAACCACCTGCCTATTCCAATCGTTGTAAAATGTAAGTCTCCGGTGAAAAATTTGTTGTAATATAAAACCAGCTGATTGTGCGATATCAAAGGTTATCATGTCAAGCATTTCCATGCGCCGTATTGCAAGTTGTTACGTTCGGTGGAATGTGAAACGTCGCGTTGCCGGTCTTCTTTGCGCGGGATATCTTGTAAGACACACGTTCTCTCTACCTGCTTTTCCACGAGTGATTTATATACGGTTGACCTGTCTTAAATAATTGATGGAAGTTTCCTTGATCTCTTGTATATATGAAGACTGAAGTTGTACGTGGCGTGAATACGATACAGTCCTAACAGTCATAGGAAAAAAATCCTAACGTCTAAAGCGCAAGTCATTTATATGCGCATAGAAATAAATTCTATCTATCACTTTGGGAGTATTTAACTTGAAAAATGTTCACCAGCGGATATATCGAATCACGTTATTACTTTAGATATCTTTGAGCTATGAGACTACGAGAGAAGTTTATTTACTTATTTAACAGAATTGCACAATTACATTCTGTTTCTTGAAATGCGATATGAAAGTGACAACATTTATTGCCCCCACCCTATGTAATAGAAAATTAATTACGTATGTGTAGATCGATTATCGTGCTGACATCGATGATCGCCGTGTATTGCTATTAATTTTCCCGCGTGAATATATATATATCACGCGAAAAAATTAATAACAACACGCGGAATATAGGCAACAGGTCGAGGAATCGAAGCGGAAGCCACAGCAGACACAAACTTCATAAGAAGCATAAGAAAAAAAAAGAGTTCTCATCGAAGGTATCGATCTTCTTTCCTACATTGGTCATTCCCTCTGCCAGATAAATATATATATATATATATATATTCCTCTTTTAACAATCTTCTTTAGCTTCCGCATAACTCTTCAAGAATTAATCAATTAAAAATTTAAAAGAGTTGCGATTGATGTCATTTCATATTCGAACTTTCCGTGCAAATTTTCAGTCGCCGTTTACTTGATGCTAACAGCAACGCGCATTATTTCTTACTTTTGCGTTTATTACTCGTGGTATTTCCGATACGATACGAGCTTTCCCTTGCCTAGAAAAAAACGATAGGTCACACCGAAAGAAAATACACAACTGTCGAAATATGTCACGCGTACCACCTAACGAGCGGTAATTGAATCCGTTGCGACGGAATTCAATAAATCAATCGTATTATGCATTTGACATCACTCGTACGTCGGCTACGCCGAGTGTTAATCGATCAATACGGTCGATATGTGGCTCAATACGTTTTAATACGTTTAAACGAACCGCGTCAATATTATTATCAATGTTATAAATTGCGGATTTATCGACGGATGTTTCAGAGCTTATTTTAGATGTGCTATTATTGATATATGTATCTGCTGATATCTGCGTTTTGTTTCTTTACGATTCAATTCCGTTTAATGTTTCGCAAGTTGCTCAAAATCGATACGAATTTGTTATCGCAACGCACAGAGAGTGTCATTTTGCGCTCGTGTTTCAATTTATAATGGATTTAAGCAGAATCGCTCGGTTATTCGTAATCAGTGAGCGAATTGCACCATAACGTACGAATGTTATTTTGGGAGAATGGACAAGACTTTCGTTGAGATCAAATAGCTGAAACAAGAAAATTCCGCGAATCGTAAATCGTCTCCTCTTTTTTCAAAGCTCTTCATGGAAGGGAGTACGTCGCAATTTTCTTCGTCACATAAAGATCGTCATTCATAACTGACGGCAAGCGACATATCTTCTTGTATCGGTTCCAGTCTAATTTCTACATTATCGCGATAATTATCGTACTTTTTTCTTTATGCGACACCGCTTGTTTATTCAATGTAATTTAATCGAAAATCGTGCAGTCGAAATATATTTTATGATTTCAGGCTGGATTTTGCTTAATATCAACAATCTACGATAAATTTATGTATAATGTAGTTGAATAATTATAATATTAATAATTATTATTATTTATTATAATAATATAATATGTTATCGATATTAAGATATATAAAATAATTTGATAAGTATAATATTATAATGTTATAAAAATCATATATATAAGCAAAGTAAGAAAGTGTACGAAGATTTCCAAAGATAAAATTAATAATATTGTTCGCAATGAAATAGTTCAAGCGACAAAAATCATCGTGATCGTCGAAAAGTCGAAGATCTGAAGAAACTGAAGAAACAAATCATTTCTTTCCGTAAATAACGTCTCGAGATTTTGGCTTAGTAATCGAAGGCTCGCTATCGAAGGTATATATTAACTCAGGCATTCCAGTGAAATATGTTGATAAAATCCTATAAGATACTACATAAAACGTTATCAATAATGTCAGAATGTACATATGATCGACCAGTCACAATTTTATCTATCCAACGTCATTGCGACATCTTCTTGGCAAGGCGTTATTTTCACATCCAAGGTCCATCATCCAATTTGTAGCGTTTATGAGAGCGATAGAAATTCGACATCGGATGAAAAATCCGTAGTAAATGCGCGGCCGTTCACGATAATTTGGAATTGCGATATGGTGGTGTGGTGGTGCGGCAGCCACCACTATAAATTTTGATATCGTCCATGTGACCACACTCGGGCACGAGACGGGGATCAAAGGTGAATCGTCTCCGACTTATAAGTTAACTCGGTTGCACACAGGACAAGTCAGTCTACGTTTGCATGCTCACTAGTGACTGACAACCGAACTGACAACCGAACAGTCATCAGATGGCCGCTGAGACGATCGTGAGTACTTCCAAATCCGCCGGGGATATTTTCATTAGTGAGAAGTCAGAAGTACGAAGTCAAACATTTCGCGCCTCTAAAACGCGACTTCTCCCGAGACTCGTCGCCGGCTCTTCCAATTAGAGGCGAGTCTTAAGGCACAAATAATCGACAAAATTTAGCTTTAGTCTAAATTAAGCTCCGAAGTGTCCGTCGATAAATCGCGGGCTGTGTGTTTCTTCGAACGACCGCGCGATTCATAATTCGCCTCGTGGAGTTGAACAAATGTATCGCGTATGTATCCTCAGTCCGATATTCGCCTTCAGAAACGAAGATAACGAAATAATTGCACAATACCTGTGTACGACATTATATATGCTTATTTGATAGTTCTGTTTGCGTTGCGCGAGCCGATTTATATATGACGTCTCGACGACGTGTATGACGAAATTTTCACAGATACATTCGCAGCATCCGCGTTCTCTTTTCTTTCAGCATCTAGCGCGAGCATTGGATAGATAAGCGCACAGAATCGTCTCTATGCCGATTTTTCTCCGCGGCAACTCGTCACACATCACGTGACAATCGGGTTAGGAGAGTCACACTGCGAACCCGAGTGTGTTATTTTGACGCGTATAAGCTGAAGCTTCCTTTACGCGTATCTTGTCTTGTCTCAAATCACGTCGTTTAACGCGTTTAAACGCGTCAAGTGATGTCGAAATGCATCAGATGACTTGAGTGATTTCAGAAAGACAAGAAACGCGTGAAGAAAGCTCCAGCTTATACGTGTCCAAATAATACACTCGGGTTTGCAGTGTAGTCGCGCTAGTACGAATCTATCATGACGCGTAATTTTATATACTCCTCGCATTACATCATACATACGGGTGTAACGCACCGTTGATCGTTGAAAACGCACAAATTTCCGCGTTCCATAATTTTTGCAGACTGTAAGAAAATTCATTTCGCATTCTGCGCGAGGCAAGATACGAAGTGAGGAGACAACGTGGTGATTTTGTAAGGGCAGAACTGGCCAGAATGCAAGCCGAGATGAATTGTTGTCGAATATTTCCCTCTTGCAGACACAGAAGAGCGTCATGTTGCTGGATCCGTCGGAGAAACTTCGACCTGAGCCGGTGTACTCGGGGAAATTGCAGAGTGACTTCCGAAATTACACCGAGGACCCCGACGATCCCATCAAGGAGCGCGTCCGCAGAACTTACCAGGAAATGCACACCAATCAGACCGTCGACTTCGTGCAATGTTAGCAATGAAAGAAACATACATTACGCTTTATTTTTTATCGCTTCGCCTCCGAGATAAGGAGGAAGAATGTCCAGTGAAAAATAAATAGTCCCGAGTTCTCGGGGGAGAGAGAGAGAGAGAGAGAGAGAGTCACCTTTCGGATGACTTGTTTCTTAATTATTTATTGAGCAGAGTAATCGGAAAGACGCGCGCGTTGCCTCGATCGGTATCCTGAAGGGAGAGAGAGAGAGAGAGAGAGAGAGAGAGAGAGAGAGAGAGAGAGAGAGAGAGAGAGAGAGAGAGAGAGAGCTGAAAGACTTTCGGGGAATCTTTACTAATTTATTCCGTCGCTGTTGCAGCTCGCATGAAGGATTGGCTCCAGTTCAACAAGTTCAAAATGTCGGTGAAGGATGCCCTGATCAAATTGAACGACCTCGTGGATGAGAGCGACCCGGACACCGATATGCCTAACATCGTTCACGCGTTTCAAACGGCAGAGTCCATCAGGAAGGAACATCCAGATCTCGAGTGGTTCCATCTCACCGGCTTAATTCACGATCTCGGCAAGGTAACGTAGCGTCCCGTCTGCGTAACGGTGCTTCACCCTTTCCACAGCGACTCGTCGTGTAATGCCTCGAGTCAACAAGCAGGCGAATCCTTTGCGCCAACGCGAAATTCCGCAGGGAGGGCCGTCATCGGTCGCTCTCACAGCACTCACACTAGCGCGACATAATTGGATAACCAGTTGACCGTGTGGCAGGTAATGGCATTTTACGGAGAACCTCAATGGGCGGTAGTGGGTGACACGTTCCCGGTCGGTTGCGCCTGGGGTGATTCCATCGTGTACAGAGAGACGAGCTTCGACGACAATCCCGACGGCAAGGACTCGCGCTACAAGTACGTCGCACTTTTCCTGTATATGCACGAGACAATCAATCTCCAGCATAGGAAAGGAGGTGTTCCGTAGGGAAAAGTATGTGTGTGTGTGTGTGTGTGCAACCAAGCGAAATCCTGTAAGAGATTTTCGCCGAGAGTCTGAAGTCTCCGGGAGCTCTGCTGGGATAGTATCCGAGATAAAGATGTTGAATATTCTCAGACATACGTTCAACACGTCCGCTACCACGCTCAGATTCAAAGTCATCCTGCTGCCTGCGCGTATTTTTAGTATCTGCATCGGCCTGCAACACTTTGACGACCGCACTTACTCGTGGAAAGATCGTCGATCGCCATCGAGAGAGAGTTTTTCAGAGCTCCCTTAGACGACATCCGAGAAAGCCAAGCACGATTTCACGATGAAATCAGATTGTTTTCAAATGACAAAATATACACCCTCTCGAAACCGTAACTCTTCTCACAAAAGCAACGGTTTGCTCCACTTTAGCGAAGGAATTTAAATAAATTTGTGCATTAATATCCGTCGAATAAATATTCCTTTATTTTTTAGATTCATTCATTTTTATTATTTTTTAGATTTATTTCTTATTTTTTATTTTCTATTCTTTAGATCCTCTTTTTTTTGTTTTTTTTTTTCAGTGCATATAGAAAGGATAAATTAAGAGCTTTTGCGACGCCGATTTCTGATGATAGATGGGGCCGCGAGCGTGTTAACGCGAAAGTCTCGTAAAATTGCGACGTAGATCGAAAGACGGTGAGCAGAGGAGGAGGACGCGAAATGATCTCCGCTAACGGAGCGATGTTTCTGTTGCAGCACCAAGTACGGCATGTACAAGCCCAAGTGCGGGATATCCAATCTGTTGATGTCATGGGGCCACGATGAGTACTTGTATCGCGTACTCCAGCACAACAAGAGTAAGTTGCCGAAGGAGGCTCTGACGATGATCCGTTTCCACTCGTTCTACCCTTGGCACGCCGGCGGCGATTACATGCACTTCTGCACTCCGGAAGACACAGAGATGCTCAAGTGGGTGGTGGAATTCAAGTAAGCATCGGGTATCGTGTTGATTGAAGAGAATCGCCAGTCGGGACGTTAATCTGAAACGTTACGAATCGTTTTCGCAGTAAATACGACCTGTATACTAAGAGCGACGCCATGCCCGACATCGAGAAACTGTGGCCCTACTACGAGAAACTGATCGACAAGTACATACCCGGAGCGATCGAATGGTAACGAGAGAGGCGCTCTCTCGTCTGCCGCGTGTTTCTAATTGATATCAAGCTGCGAGTCAACGATTATTGTTGTTGTTAATACGAGAGTTCCTTTCTACTGCGATCAAAAAGTACCCGAAATTTATTTTTCTTTAAATCGCGGATAAACTGTAAATCAAATCCGTTTGCTTCCTTAAGTCCGTACACTTAAGTCCTTCACGGAACTTTGGTGAAAAAAATCATGGCGTTCCTTCGAGCCGTTTGAAAGTGGCAGTTGTTTATGTCAGTGAAGATTGTTGTGCACGGTGATTTTTATATCGAGAAATATGGAGCAAAGAATTTGTTTGAAATTTTATTTGTTGCGAAGGAAATTTCGCTCACAAACGCACTGTGAATGTTGCAAAAAGCTTACGGCGATGAGTGTTTATCGAAAACAAGTTCGAGTGGTTTAAGAAGTTTCGAGAAGGACGAGAATCCGTTGAAGATGACCCATGCTGTGGAGGACCATCAACGTCAACGGATAACGCTCACATCGAGAAAGCGAAAGAATTGCCGCTCCAAAATCGTCGATTGTCTGCGCGAGAGACAGCAGATGAAGTCGCGCCATCGCATACCTTGACACTTGTGCGTGAATTTCTGACAAAAAACTCAACGAATGTCGCTCCGCAAGCACCGTATTCACCAGACATGGCACCCTGCGACTTTTTCCCGCTCCCCCTACTGAAAAAATCACTTCGCGGACACACAGCGTTTCGAATCGATTGAGGACATGAAAGAAAAATCGCTACGTGAACTGAAGACCATACATACCGTTTGCCGCGTATAAGCGACGTTTCCAGAACTGGATCAAACGCTGGCATATGTGCGTTGCAAGCAATGGGGACTACTTTGAAGGAGACTGTAAGAATTTCGATGATTATAATTTGGACTTTTAAAAATAAAATTCGGATACTTTTTGATCGCAGTAGTATACCGCCGGCCAAACGTACGAGGGCCTCAGAAGAGGAAAACGACCTTGGACGAGCATTTCGATTTGTTATATCTTAGCGAAAGACTTATACCGTACATACATAGATATGTAGGATCTGCGATGACGATACTGCTCGCGCGATCAGCGAGAGGCTGATGTCTCGCGATGTAAGCTTCCCGACGCGGAAACGATCCTTTCGATAAATCCTCGGCGGAGAACGCCGTACGCGCGCGAGTATGAGCCGATTTGAATCACGTCCCATAACGCGGGTCCCGCTCAATCTCTCGGTAAACATGATTCGTAAGAATTATGTTCAGGGGCCCGCGATGTCACGAGTAATAACGCGCAGCGGCCAACGCATTCTTCCGCGGAATTCCCGGCGTGACGCGAATTCCGCGGTCGCGACGCGCGCGCTTCGCGGAGCGCCGCGTTCCGAAAATCGGCGCGCGAGTTTTTCGACGTGTTTCAAATTGACCGGCAGTCCCGCGGCAAGCGGGACGATAAAGGCCGCGGTTGTCTCGATTAGGTGAGTAATCCGGCCGTTAAATGGCCGCGCGAAGGGGAGCTTGACTCACGGGCCGGGCCGGGCGGCCCGATACTTCGAACGAAGAATTCGTTCTCCAAGAACTGGTTTGTGCTGATTTTCACCGCTACCGCATTCGTCCTCGAATGGTGGACCTGCGTAAGATCGGCGACAGCCGGAAGCGGGATCGTCGGTATTGTCCCGAAAGGCGAGATATGAATTTCGGGATACGCGACTTCGTCGGTCTCGGTCTCGCAACAACGCAAGAACGCATTTCGTCGTAATTTAGCATAGAGTATAACCCTTTAACGCCTACTGGTAACTATAGTTAAACAGAAACGCGTTTAAGAATCCATAACTTAGTGAAAAAGGAGATTTTCGTTTTCTTTGCCCACCACTGTAAAGGTGAATTCTTCTTCCAAGAGACGGTATACAGATTGCATGTAGATTCGGTTTAGTCTGTTTTTAGCTCAGTTTTAATGATAACATGTTTTGTCAAATTCCATGTAGGCATAGTTAGCATTGTTACTGACATCTAGAAGTGCACTATAAATTAATAGTATATAAGTGTTACAACAAGCACATGCCTGTTAAGGAAAACAGTAAAAGACCTTGTCGATTTTTGTGCAGCTCGAAAGGGAAGCAAAGCGGGACAAAAATAACTTGCAAAACCTGTAAAATTCCCCTCTGCATCTCTCGATGCTTTATGCAATTCCATTCCGAGTAAATAAGGATCAAGTTCTGAATATGAGTTTTATGTTTCGAGGAATTTTTCTAGCCATTAGGTACGATATAATAAACTGTAAACAGTCATGTGCTTGTTGTAACACTTATATTCTATTCGTTTACAGTGCACTTGTAAATGTCAGTAACAATTAAAAATAAAATTACTACAACTAAAAAAGAAAATTTAACCGATCAGGCGTATTTTTCGCTTCTGGGAGTAGTTTCTGCCTGGAAAGGTAGTTTTTCATAGATATAAAATTCTGATATTTTTTTTGGTTATCACTATGTATAGTCTCGGTTCAAAAAAACTCAAATTTTATTCTTAAAACACTTATAAAAAAGTCGAGCGTTAAGGGGATAAAGAGCGACGCACTTGTCCAAGTTTCAACGATTACTCAGTCTCAGAATCACTTCTAATTTGCGCTCTCAAATAGGCCGAGAAATAAGAGTGATTGCCTACAGGCACTTTTAACTTTACGTTCACCGACTTCTTGCCATTTTCCGCTTCATCAGTCACAGCTTGTTGATATTCGCGCGAAATTCTTCTCCTCGGCAGACTGCTTTGTCCCCTTTGCCTTTCTCGATGTCTCGCACGCCGAAATAGGGAGTTTTTGCAATACCGCCTCTCGGATACGATAAACGTTGACCGCGAATGCTATCGCTCGCCGCGTACATTGCGACGTTGTTTCTGAGCGAATAACATTACCAAACTCCCTAATATAAAACACGCGTCGCGCGGTTTTTCTCGCGCTTTCGGTACACACAGCGGTCGGAGGGACACGCCATCGCGGGGAATGAGAGGGGCGAGATGTCCCAGGTAATTTTTCTTGTTTTTCATTACCGACGATCGTGGGAGAATAATCCGAAGCGTGGCAGTCGGCAATACAGCCAACTCACGTACGTAAGGGTGGTACAGTTAGCAGCAACAAGGACAAGCGGCGAGCTTTCCCGCGCCTTGTCACGCCCATCACGTTATGTGAATGCGATAGAAGTGAAACTTTTGGCACACGCGGCCGCGTCCGCGTGCAGAGAGGCGCCTAGGAAGTTTTCAATAAACCGGACAATCTACTGTGTTTCCATGCGGCGAGCGCGCGTTCTCGCGATAAACCTGACAGCTACATGCCCCGCCATAATAGCGCGACGCAACCTCTTTATCGTGCCCGCGGTATCGTCTTGCCTTGCACGCGCGCGCGCGCGCGCGTTATTTTCGCGGTATCTACTTTCGTATTTGCGACGTGCGGGCAGTTCCCCGCGTTTTGCGCGGCGACATCCTCGCCATCGAGTACGCGAGATATCGCGGAGGCGAATGCGGAAGAAATAGAAACATTGACGTGTAGGATCTCTTCGCGCGCGCGCGCGAGAGAGAGAGAGAGAGAGAGAGAGAGAGAGAGAGACTATTTAGCGCTGCTAAGAATAGCGCACGGATTTAGACGCGAAGCCGAAGGAGCTGAACGGTTCGCAGGACGTTGCGGTTTTAAAAGCACGGTCTCGTGCCGTTAAGAGGAAGGGAGAAACGAAGATAAAAACGAGTCTTTCCCTCGATGTGTCCTCGATTCTTCAAAAGTTTCTTCTCCCCGCCTCCCTCGCCTCAATCGTTATCCGCGAATTTCACTTGCAATAAAGTTTTTATGTCTCGCGGGAACGTAAATTTTGCCTTTGCGCAACAGAGTGGGAGGAATATTATTATGCGCTTAGCTTGGAGCCACAATAACGATTGCGAAGCAACTACCGCAATTATGAGAGATAATCTCGAAAATATCTTCAATCTACCGTCGGATACGTTGCTCCCTTGCGAATTTGCACAAGCTGAGAGGGGGGGGGGAGAGAGAGAGAGAGAGAGAGAGAGAGAGAGAGAGAGAGAGCGAGAGACCTTTGTAGACAATTATTCGTGGGTGCAGCGATGTTTAGCGCACGATAATCTTTCGGTAAAAGTTTACGGCGGATTAATCCGCGGGTTCTCGTGGTAATCTGTGCGCGGTAGGCCTCTGTTAACGAGCGGATTGATCGATTGCGAGCGGTCGCGCGCGGGGTAATTGTCGGTTGTGTTTAACAAGCGAGCGTACATAAGGTACACGCGATACATGCATTCTAATCTCATTGTTTCGCAATTACGCGGTCGCCGATCTCGCGCGGCATATAACGCGCGCGAGTGCACAACACATGGAGCCTTATCAGTCTTAATGTCAACGCGCTCTGGGCTCCGTCGGATCTCGGAGTGATGATCGAATGATGATCGAATTGGCCGTTCGTAACGCGCGCGCGTAACGCGATTCGATTCGCCGCGCGATCGATTCGATACCGCGCGGGACTTTCGGGAATTCCCGCGGCGGAGTATAAGAACGGTCAATTCTTGTATATATAATTAACGCGCGTATACACATATATCCCCGTGCATGATAAACATAATCCATTATTTGTCGCCGTCGTTTGCGGGCAACCTCCTTATTCCACCTCCGTCGGCGATGACGAATACACCTATGTGGGCGTGATAAATATTCATGAACTCGCGGTCTGACCCGCTGGCTGTTACACCGACGTCCGACGTCTCAACGTCGCGCCTTCTCTCAGCCGAGAGGGAATTTTATTTGTCTTAATCATTCATCATATAATAAGATAAGATTGAGAAAGGATTTTGTTGCAAAGGCCCGTCGTATCCCACAACATCACGGAGAGTCTCTCTCTCTCTCTCTCTCTCTCTCTCTCTCTCTCTCTCTCTCTCTCTCTGTCTCTCTCTCTCTCTCTCTCTGTCTGTCTGTCTCTCTCTCTCGAGCGCTTCAACCCGGCGCTGTTGGCCCGCTCGATTCTCACAATCTGTCGGGGCACGCGTGCGCGCGATCGGCGATTCGATTCGAAAGGTCGTTATTGTCTAATTAACGACTACGCGCTTCGTTAGCGGAGTGGGATTATATTCGTGGGATATGCTCGTAGCGGCCGGCCGGCCGTTGCGTGGCTTATTAACGGAATCGTGCGATTATCGCGACGGACCGCCTCGCGCGGTCAGCCTAATTGTCGGTTTTCTTGCCTTTCTGCAGGACGCGGCGCGGCGCAGCGTTTTCGTGGAGGTCGCGAAGGGAAGAAGGGAAGAAGCGCGACGGTGCGGCGGGGAGGCCGGGGCTGGCCCTTCTGGCCGATCTGGGACGCGCGCTCGCGCGATTGTAATAAAAGGTAGGCCGCGCGCCGTAGTTACTCAACGTGAAACGGGGTTACATCGATCTGCCGATGTGTGAAGGCGTGTGCATGTTCGCGAGCCGCGGACATGTACGCGCTCCTATGTAAGTGGAAAGTAACGTAGCGCCGCGGGACGGGAGAGGCGCGACGACACGCATTTCGTTAATTTCACCGTTGAGCTCATTATACACATTAGACGCCTAATGGGGCCCGGAACGATCCCGCGCACGCTCGTGGAATGAGAAAGAGAGAGAGAGAGAGAGAGAGAATAACGTCTTCGTTTTGCGGTAATTAGCACGTTGTGTGGGATTGCTTTAATTACTGGCTGGACTAGCGTCGCGAGAAATCGAGTGAAATTCCGAGAAGGAATTAATTAAGAACTCGAGTCGCAGGCGCGCTTGCGAGTGTAGACGTGTGCCGGTACGCTCGCGAAAGCGAAGGCACACCGGACTCGCGTTACCGTATCGTAGATACCGTAGCAATGGGCCTGTTTGAACACGATCCGCGGGACGCAAAATTCATTTCGCTCGTAATAGCCGGCTTTCCCCGGCCGACGCGGCGCGGCGCGGCGAATCCGATACTCCGAGAACGGCCGGCGAGTCTCGTGCGAAAACGGTTTCACCTGTTGTAGAGCGTCGCGAAGTTCGCCGCGCCGCAATAACACGCCAGTTCGTATCGGGACGGTTTCTCACGGGGCGGCTTCTTACGAACGCTCGGACGCGGCCGGCCGGTCGAGTTCGTTACTCCGCCGGGAACGCAGGAAGGGGCTTCTTTATTTTTAGTGATCCACCGGCATTCGCTCTGCCGCCCGCGCCTCCCCACGTCCCCGCGGCCCGGGTTCCCTCGATATTCGCCTTTCGCCCACACGCAGTTCCACAACTTCCGGCTGCGCCTCTCGTGGCTTCGCCCCTTCCTTCCGCCAGGACCACCGCGCGACTCCTCGCGCTCGGCCTCGTCGGGATTCCTCAGGCTGCTCGGACCGACTCACCCTGACTTCTTTCGTCGTCTTCTATATCTCCGTCCTCTTGTCTCATATCCTGTTGGACACGTTGGACACGGAGGACTGACGAAATTGTGCAATTCAGTCACAATATTCTCATAAAAGAACAAAAAAAAAGGCGGGAAAAAACGACCTGTCGCTAAATTTTCCATTGTTTGCGATGAATAGACAGACAGTCGTCTCGCAGTCGCACAGGGCGGGTCGTAGTTAAGAAAAAGATTAAGATTAAGAGAGACCCACGTACGGTCTTTCTATTTTCGCGTCTTCGATTCAATTGTCCTCTGCTCAATTGTCCTCTCTGCTCAGTCGTCCCAAGCGGATTTCCAAGCAGTCCGCATGTCCTGCCGTTTGTTTTTCAGATAATAGAGAGACATCATTCCCTGCGAGCAGATTGTCGCTGTGCCTGCAGGACCAATCTCGACCAAACACAGAAGCGAACAAAAGAAGCGACCGCATATCGAATATTCCCTCCATGTATTGAACGACGCGTCACGTAGCGCTACAGTTCCGCACACTGATTACTACGCAATTACAATGCATATTTTGTCGTCGGTAGCCGTAATGCTGGAGCAACTCCAACTCCCCGCAACTCTCAACAGCGTCGACTCCGAGCGTCCTCTTCGCCGAAGCCGGCCGTTGCGTCCAGGGTTGATCGAGCGGCCGGACCGAGATACCGATCGTGACACGTAGAAAAGAGCCGAGAGAATTGTTCCCCGGGCGCTCCTACGGACGCAGGTGACTTACCTGGAAGTCCAATTAGCGGCGATTCCGCGATGGAGTGTCGGTCGGTCGGACGGACGGCAGGCCGGCGCGGCGGCGAGCACGAACGCGCACGAGAGCGCAGGAACCCCCGCTATAAGCAGCAGCAGCAGAAGCGACGTGTCGACGAAATTGGCTTAGTCAGCGGCCACATTACGGGGCATTACTGGACATTAACGGGACGTTATTGTGGCAGCATCAGTACGCGCATCGCCATCAGCCCGCTGATCAGCCCGTGTGTGTGCGTGCAAGTACGCGCGCGCCTATGTGTCGTGACATAGAGATAGAGAGAAATGAGAGACAGAAAGAGGAAGGGGCGGGAGAGAGAGAGAGAGAGGAACGGGGGAACGCTGTAGGTCACGTAGCTCGTGAATCATGCAACCTTACCTTTACCTCGTAAGCGATCGCGACTTCTGGGAAACGTCGCGCGGGTGTAACGAACACAGATACTCACGCATACACACACGTTTACGAATACGCCCACGCGACCCCGTAACTGAGACCCACACGGCTCGATTCTCGATGTACCTCCTCTCCTATGTGCCTTCTTTCTCTCTCTCTCTCTCTCTCTCTCTCTCTCTCTCTCTCTCTCTCTCTCTCTCTCTCTCTCTCTCTCTCTCTCTCTCTCTCTCTCTCTCTCTCTCTCTCTGTCTCTCTCTCTCTCTCTCTCTCTCTCTGTCGCTCTCGCGGTGTCCGCGACCTCCAGATAGTCAACCCTCCCCGAAGGTCGCGCCTCGAGCGCAACGAGGTACGAGGAGCGTGGACGGATGTTGAACGGCGATAGCCCGCGATCCTGTCGTAGGAAGCATTTGCAGTTTGCGGAAATCGGCTCCACCGATTTTACGAAACGAGGGTACGCGTGGGAGCGGTAATTCTCACGGTTACGCTGCGGAGAAAGTCAGAGTTGGCGAGACGAAGTTTCGCGGGACGGGGGAAATTTGTAATTAATTAGGAATAAAATCGAATTCCCGGAATATATCAGCCTCCGCCGACGGGTCGGCGGGTAACATCCCGGAATCGCATGAACTTTGTGGAATTGATAATTAATATACGCTGTAATCGTAATGAAACTTGTTAAATGTTGAGCCAGCTATTGAATGTTAAATGTTGAGTGTCATACGGACGTGAGTCGTGCAGCTTCCGGAC